TTCTAACTTGTTTACCGTTTTTTTTTTTTTCGTACATTCCCCAATAAAAAAATAAAAAAAAAAAAAATAAAATATTTAAAAAAAAAAAAAAAAAAAAAAAAAAAAAAAAAAAAAAAGAAAGTCGAACGTGTGGCAAAAGTCAGAGTTACTGGCATGCCTATCCCATTCACATTCTTCTGAAACATATTACATACCTCAAGGATATCCCCGAGTCACTTGGCCACCTACATATCGGTATATGCTGTATCATCTATTACTTTTTATCACGCTTAACGCTCTGCTTTTCGTCAAAATATATCCTAGTTGCTTGCCCATACTCGAAGTAACTTGGTGATGAGTGATGAAAGCTGCCATGTATTCACCTAGGTCGGTGCCTGTAAGTCGTGAACCCAGTTATTCTACGTACTTCTCCAAGTTAGGCTAGCTAGTCTTCATATCCATATGTCGATCACAAGTTGCGAGACAAGCATCCGAATTGAGTTTCTCGGCCGGTTGCCAAACTCTATCGTTTTACTTCAGCCCATCATTTAACTGGAGCTCTTTTCTTATTTGTCAGATTCTCATTCTAACCGTCCGTACTTATCCCTGAATAGGCCCTTATTTCTCCTCTTGGTGACTGCAAGGAGCCTCGTACAATGTGCGGAGTTGCTCTACGTGTCGTAGTCTTTTTCTAACACCCTCGTGAAGACTATATACGAGCCAACCTCGAGGTGATTCTTTTAATATCAACTTTGGTTCGGTGATAACTAGCCAGAGTCGTACAATACCTGATTCTGATGCTCTTTGTCATGTCACTGATACCGGGGGCGGGAGGAGTTGAAGTAATTGTGGCGTACATTGTCACTACTTTACACATGAATGATAGCGTCGCTTGAGAAATAGAGTTTCTGTCATTCCCGTCGTCTCCGCTCAAGCATTTTATTATGGAGAGCATCTTCTTAAAGTCAGTCAACTTTGGGATTCTTGTGGAAAAGGAAATAGTGGTCCAAACAAATCATGAAGTCGTTGGAGACTTGTCAGCGTCCCATCTACCATCTATCGTATCTATTGTTCACTCTGGGCCCGACTTGAGGAGGGGAGCTACAACTTCCGAGGCGCATGGGACACCATCGTCTCGTCCTCAAGGCAAGATGGTTCCTCGTCCTGACGTCAGGGAGAGAGAAAATTCTGAAGAGGGCCTTGCCGACTTTTTCCGTAGGGAGCCCCCTCCAGGGAATTTTATGTCGATACCCGACGATGTGAGCGTGTATTCCGTCCATAAGAAATGGGATATGTTCAAGGTCTTTGGGAAAAGGCGAAAGAGTCGAAAGCGCCAACCACCGGTTATTAGACTTCCAGATACAGCTATTTCTGCTAGAACTATTAGCGGTCACCGATACATCGCCATATCGATTCCTTCCGGTAATTCGCATTCTGAGTCAATTCCTACCCAGCAACATTCAACACTAAGGTCTATTGAATTAAAGTCTCGCCAGGGAATTGTATCAAAACATAGCCTGGCGTCTGATCGTAATATCCAGGTCCCGAGGCCTGTAACTGGTGATCGTGAATCACAATCCTCAGCATCGCTGCCGCCAAGGTCGTCGAGACAACCAGAAGCATTCACCTTGCTTGCGCCCCCTCCTAGGAAGGTTTCTATACTTTCAACGGTACCATCACAAGAAGAAACTCATTCTGCGAAAGGAAAAGAACCAGATAGGCAGAATAAGTCCGAGAGTCGTATACATAGAAAACTACCGATAAGTCCTTTAGGGGCTAGGTGGATGACATATCTCGCCGAACGAGGATCCAGTTTTCCTACAAGAAGCTTAGAACGACAGAGTGAGCAACAGATGAAGGTGTCAGACCTTGGAGGCCTTGAGATTGGAACAGTCCCTCGGATAGTTGAAAGTCCACCCCAGAAACCGACTATACAAGAATCTGAGCAGAAGCAACTAGGACAAATTAGCGATAACTCTATAGTGAGAGACATGTCAAGGAAAGCCGAAAAATCTCCCTGTATTCCGCATATTCTTTCGGCGAATCTGTTGTCCATACCAGCTTTGCCGGTGCGAACTTCCAGCAAAAGAGCAGTAACAACAACAACTAAGCCTAGTAGGATCGAAGATACTGCTATTGATCGGCCGGCACCGATTAGTAGAGCTACCACCGGTTCTAATACCGGCGCCAGTGGAAATGGGGTTGCAACCGGACCTCGTGGGTCGTTCGCCGAGAGTTTAATGACAGAATCCTCACCAAAGGTGTTAAAAGCAGAGACAGCCACAGCATACCAATCCGTCCCTATAGTGGTTCGTCCGTCTTCACGACCTGAGATTGACTCCCCCCTGAACCTGAACTTCCCCTCTCCACCCACAAACAGAGTCAATCGCTCGGTGCAGGCGAATCTTTCATCACCTCCCGCCACATCTGAAGGAGTTACGAGTCGCAAGGACCGCGTTAGGGAACGGAAGAAAAGAGATATGGAAAGGCTAAAGGCCCAGATGCATCGACCGCCAGCGTCAAGTCTTCTCCGGGTTGGGCCACAAGCCGAAAATGCCTGGCCAGAGTCTCCGGTGCTTGGCCGGTTTAATCCAGACCTAGGGTTGCCGCCTTCTAGGCCGTATTTAACGGGGAAAATGTCAGATATCGGCCCTATCAGACCTGGCATTCAACTAAAGTCACCCTACCTATCAGCAGAGGCTGTTGCGAAGAAGCGACGTGGGAGAAGCATCAGTGTCCCAATACTAACTAGTTCATCCTCTCCATCCTCCCCCCTAGGATCCCTTAGAGCGCCTTGCGAGGATAACACATCTTACTATCGCCGAAGAGAATGGCAGGCAGAACACGAAGAGGCGGCGGCAAGGAGGACACGATACGCAGCCCACGCACTAGCGGAGCAAAAGGAGACCTACGAATGGGTGATGCGACAGAAGCTTCTAAGACGGTACGAAAAGCTAAAGGAAAGCCGCACAAAAGACTTGGAGAAACGACTACGTCGCGTAGAACGGAACGGGGAGGTCCTCATGCAGACTTTGGTATCTCTGATGGAAACTCTTAACACACTGTTGCAAGACCGACACGCCTTACAACGCAGTGTTTCTTCGGCATATCCCGCACATTCACAGCATCAAAAATCAACTGAGGGACGCACTCAATCCTTAAGGTCTGTACGCAGCTTTGACGATTTGATCCCGACGCCACGGCCGCAGCCGGAGCAGAGGGAACTCCCCTTTCGAAGATACCGTCCCCGGAACCTACACGTTTCTGGGCATGGAGCCCAATTAGACACGGGGAGGTGTCCACAGCAGAGCGGAGGAAGGGAAGAGAGTGGCGAGATGGACACTCGTGTGCGTCAGTCGACATTAGAAACACTACAGGCGCAGTTGCAATCCCAATCTCGATTTCCTCGTAGCACTCAAGCTCAAGCCCGAGGGCTTTCGAGCTACTCTAGCAGCATTAGCAATACCCATAACGACGAAACTAGTAGCCTCGAGATCATGGAGCCGCTTATGCGCGAACTCCAGGAAGCAGCGGGGTACGGCGTCGAGCGACGCCAGGGGGTAGAACGTGCGGAAGAGGGCAGGGCGCCTCTTAGCGAGAGCGAGGTCTTTAATCTTTTCTGATTTACCTAGGAAATTCGTTGGCTTATACCCTCCCTTTATATTTCATTTGTTATAATCCAAACTATACTTTACCCAAACTTGGTCCTAGGTGTCTTTTATGTATACAAGATCTGAGGGTTGGGATAGCGTCGGGATAGCAGATTTCCCTTATATTAGGAGGCAAAAGGGAGGTATCTGGGGGTGGAATGGGTTACGGAATCATAAAAATATGTACCTAAGTTAGCTGGGTGTTTGTTATTGGATTGTACGATCGTTGATTTATTCACATATTTATTAATTCTTGCAATTCAAATACGTCTTGCGGCATTCCATAAGTAGAAATGGATACTGCTATATTGTAGTTGTTGTATAATATAGGCAATTGACGGACTACCGTTTCCCGAACCCGGTCTAGAGGTATCTACTAATACACTGACTACCTAGGTAGACAGGCTTGCGGAGTTGTACGATGAATGACCGAGTCTAGGTAAACGTGAGATGCTGTTAATGAGGTAGAAAATAGGATAGGGTTACTTTCAAGTGATACGGGATGGTCGCCTGTTATATTATACCTGTGAAGGTCTATGATCTTTATTAGTGACCACACACATTAGCGTAAAGACTTACACCTAGATGAGTATGTGGAATAGAAATAGGATATAATGAGGATAATAGATAGAGGAGATGAGGATAGTTGAGGAACTAATAAGGAATTATGAGTTTAACCCGCAAGTCGAGATCGACAGTAGGAATTTACTACTCGAAATCGAAAAACGTTAAATCACAGGGACCGAGAACATCATGCGTAAATCGTCACAGAAGATCATAGACCAGACCACCCAGTCTACTTACCTAGGTTAGCCCTAGTCTTTAATCAGGCTCATCGTAAATATTTAACGACTTGAGGCGCCCAGCCCTGGACTGAGTCTATGAGGGCGACCTCGACTACCTAGTCTAATCCCCTCTATGAAATCGTGACCTGTATCCCGTTTAAGACGTGATACCCAGGTATCAAAAAAGCCGACCAAGGCTACCCCTAATTAAAGTCTTTGAAGAGAAGAAGGAATCGCGCTATTTGCGATAACTGGAATAACTCAAAGCCGTACGCCGTGGGAATGCGTTTATGTCATTATTACCTCCGATGCCTTCTCCGCAAATATAAATGTATCCCGCCCATGAATATTATCGAGGTCTATTAGGTTTACGCTTGATGAATGGATCGGAAGAAGTCGGTTTTCTCCTTGGTGGAAGCGGTTTGGGTGGTACAGAACCAGATGGACCCTGGCAATGATTGTTAGCTGAAGAAGGGGTAAGACGACGATATTACAAACCTTATGAGCATTCGGGGGTCCAGGAGGGGGATTACGCGTTGTCGAAGGGTGTTTAGGGGGAATACCCAGCACGGCCATTGCCGATGGATCCTGCGGTTGTGGCATTGCTCGAGGAGCACTTGGTGGAGCTCTTGGTTTAGTTTCGCTGGCAACCTGTGATATCATAATTTAGTTATGTGTAAGTGTCTCATTGTGTTCAGGTAATTTTACCCTCTTCGGTGTTTTGCCGTCTTCACTATTATCTCTGGGTCGTTTTTGACCGGACTGGTGTATTATAGGACGTTCAGAAGAACGAATGACAGTAGCGCTCTCACCGCGCTCGTTAAGCCCGCCATATCCTGTTTGCGCTGAATTATCTACCGGACCACCTTGTCCTTGTCGCTCGATAACAGTATAGGTCTGTGGCAGCTGGGGTGTTTGGTGTTTCTTCTTAGATGATCGATTGGAAGGTGCGGCATCTTCCATGATTACATCTTGATCATTATCTTGCGTATATTTCCCTGAAGTGGAATTCGAACCCTCAACTGGCGCCTCCCCGGAACCATAAGAATCGCTGGATTGGGGACGGGGGTCTGATAGTATCGGTGCGGGTGGGATATCAAAGTTAGGAGGGGGTAACTGGACTCCAGGCTTCCTAAGCAAAGAAAGAACATCGCCGGCAGTATAACGATCTCGAGCCTTGGCATCTACAATAAGCTTGTTCCAGAACTCTCCCTGAACTAGAGCTCTTGAGTCTCCTAAGATAAAAAGTGACGATTTTGCACGGGTCAGACCAACGTTCATACGTCGGATATCCGTCATGAAACCAATACCACCTGTAGGGCTGGCCCGAACACACGAGAAGATGATAATCTCACACTCCCGACCCTGGAAAGCATCAGTGGTGTTGAACTCGATTTGCTCTTTGACCTTTTCTCCGTATCGGCGACAGAACCGTTCACGGAGCTCAAATAATTGAGCCTTGTAAGGCGTGATGATTCCAATTTTCCCCTTGAAATCGATTGTTGAATAATCCGCTATTAACCTGTCATATAACTGCATAGCAACTTTGAGCTCTTCTAAGTTGACAAGCGATTGACCTTTACGACCCTTCTCTTGGATACCCTTCACGTCGAAGAAACGGTATGGACCTAACAATGCACTCTGGTGCCACGGTTGGTATCGTAGTTTCTTCATATCATCACCGTCTATGAGACGTCGCTCATAGAACTCTTGACTGGGGAATAGACTGATTTCTGGGTGCATACGGTATTGCGTATCGAGTAGATGAACATCCTCAGGATGATTGCGCTGCATACGAACGAAAAGACTTTGATCATATCCGTATCGTGCAGCAGATTGTGACAACACTGTTGGCGGAAGTTGTTTGGGGTCTCCGACGAGGATGCATTTGGAACAGCCGTATTTCAAGGGAATTAACGCGCTCAGTTCGACGCACTGAGCCGCTTCATCAATGATCACTGTCTCGAACTCGACCTGTAGATTCTTGAACATTTCATGTCCGCTACCGCTGAGCGTTGCGCACAGAACTTGAGCCGAGTCAAGAATCTCCTGCTGAATTTGGCGCCGTCGGATTTCGCTCTCTCTCGCAGCTGTGTTTCCGCTATCCTTGTCGGCGTCGATTTTTGCACCAATTTGACCCTGGCGACGCTTTAGCTCATCGAATTTTCGCTGTAATTGATTAATCTGCGTGCGGTCTCCGACAACCCTCGCGGCCTCTAGCTGCGGCCGTAGCTCAGCCAGCTCCGACTTGATCTGTCCGGCTTCTTGGTGCATCAAATCCCGTGAACTAGGCCCATTATTCTGATTTGCAGCGCCCTCCACCCGAGCTTTGACCATCTCATCCAGAGTGACATCTCTTACGGCCGCATTTATGGCATCACTACGACCCAGACGCAAGATATTAATCTTATGGAATGAGCCAGTAGTGGATTTAACACCATTCTTGAGACGTAAAACCAATTCGTCGACGGCAGCGTTACTTGGGGCACAGACTAGCAACTTTTTCGCCATCCCTTTATTACCTGTTGAATTAACCCCTCCGGGTCGTTTGATAGCCGTGCCGCTGGTCGTAGAGAAGTTGCCCGTCAAAAGGGCACCTACCATTGCTACTATTGTTTTCGTTTTACCTGTTCCTGGTGGACTACATTTAATTAGCTGGGCTTCTAGTACGATTCTCCATTACTCTCCGCGCTTACCCTTGGACAAGTGTAAATGCATCGTTCTCTTTGGCATTAAGAATTGCCTTTGCCTGGCCGGGATTCAGTTGATAGTTCTGCATGACCTGGTCAATAGCATCCTGGCCAAATTTGAGCATAGGTGAAGGCTTGGCATCTAGCACTTCTGGCATCAAATCATAATACTGAAGACTTTCCAGAGAAGCATATTCACGTTCAATCGTGGTCATGTTAGTAATCTTAACAGCGTAAAGTTCGGCCTGAGGCATCATGGTAGATAATATAGGACCCGCCCGGCCGCTCAAACGGAATTGTACTTCCAAATTGCCGTTTTTAAATTGAACACGCCAGATTCGTGCAAGGCAATGTAGCTCATCTGTTGCTTCTAACGGGTTCGAGGCATGTGAAAATAATATGATATCCCCTTCTGCTAAGAATCTGTCCTTATTTTCGTTTATGGGCATGGCTGTGCTGACTTCGACAAATTTGTCAACGTTCATCCGATTGACAACCTTGATGCCGAAAGGTTTCGAGGTTGCTTCGTCCTTGGCCGTTACAAAAGATCTCCAAGCTTCGTTGATGAGAAGCGGTAAGAATGTTTCTTTATATTTCCGCGGATCTTCATATGAGTCGGAGACCTGAGAGCACTTTATGCCATTCGGAGGGTCATTGCCTTCATGGAAGATGTCCCATTCGAGGATAGCCTGATGTAGCACGTCCATCGGAGGGATTAATCGCGCCCGCATATCCTTTGCAGAACGTTGAATCTTTACCTTCTTCACCGGCAGGCGGACATTAGGTTTCACAAATTGCCCACTCTTGGACGTTTTCTGCCCTGCAGCAGACCGGGCTAAAAATTCGGCATCGTCATCCGAATCCTCCTCATCTTCCGAGGAAGAGTTGACCATAATCTCGCTTTTCTGAGGTGCGTGGTCTTTGCCGTGTACACCAGAAAGCCCCTGAAGGCCAGACCCTTCGCCACCAACAAGCGGTTTAGGAGCTCGTAAAGCCTTGGCTCTGGCAATAATTTCGGCGTTTCTCTTTTTCTTTTCCTCGGCCTCCTTCTGACGCTTTTCGCGGATAGCTGCCACATCAGTGACTGGGAGTTTTCGCTCCGCTTGGCGGGCTCTCATCATGTCCAACGTAGCCCGGCTCTTATCTGAAGAAGAGGTTTTGAGTAGCTCACGGATATCATCCTTGCTCGATCTAACTTGTATCCTCTCCCTTTGAGAACTACTTGACACCGAAGTCTCAGAGCTCGATTTTGACCAAGCATCAAGCTTAGTTTGCCGTCTAAGAGGCTCACTCTTCCTAGCTGAAATAATCTGGATGTCATCTTCTTGAGTATCCTCTCCCAAAGCTCTTACTAACTCAGCCCGTTGGCGTTCATTCATGTTCGTCTGAGTATTATATCTCCCATCTTTGTTTTTAATGCAGGTGTTCTTGACGAATGCTAGAGCTAGCGAGGGGAGCTCCATGTCAAACTCCACCAGTCGTTTCATGAGTTTCCCAACGACACTGACGATTACCGTAACAAGGTACAGATCTTTCAGGCGGAGCATCTTGCAAAGCCCTAGGCAATATTTGCGCGGCTGCTCGAGAATATCCCTCATAGCTTGCTTCTCAGGCTGTTCACTGTTATCGATTGAAGCGGAATGGGCAGACTGAGGGCTCAGTGCGGAAGCTAGAAGACCATCCTGGGCTAAGAGAGCCTCGGCAAGTTCCATAGCCTCTCGACAAAAATTCTTCATGGTCTCCATATCAATCAATCGGCTCCAGTCTTCCGTCTGGGTGAAGGCGTTGTCAAGAAATATCCATTGCGAGTTCCACCAATTGCCAAGGACTTCGCGTTCTGTGTCAGTCAAATCCTTTGAACGGAGTATGCCAGACGTGGGATCGCAGAGACTGCTAAGTATATCTCTCGAATACCGGATAATATTAAATTGTGGCGACCAAAGGGACATCTTCTCGTTGACATCGTTGACAACTGCTGTGTAAGAAGATAAGGTGTGCACGAAGTAGCCTTCAAGCAATTTGAGTACGGCGTCCGTTCTTCTTACCTCGCCAGTGACCGTCTTAATAAAAGAAGCTCCAGCTGTGCTTATGACCTCTTCTCCGTGAACGAGAGCCGCCACGATAGGTAAAATCATAGAAGTATCTTGACAAAAATCTCGAAGCGCGGATTCACTGAAGTCGGCCAATCTCTCAATAGCCCGTCCAATAACTTCAGCCGTCTTCTGAAACTCGATATTAAATTCCTTTTTAGTTGGCGACAGAGATTGTCTCTTCAGCGGCCGAAAGATCTCCACGGCGATTAACGGACCTGTGGCAACTAACATTGATCTGGCCAGGTCATCTGCGCCAGGTTGGAGAATTTCCAAAAATGCCTCCCAAATCCCCGACGAATTCCGTTTGACCTCCCGTTGGACATGACTATCACTATTTTGGAGTGCGTTGAACTCTTCGACGGTAATACGAGAATCTAGGGCAAGGGCAAACCTAATTACGGACAACCCAACTTGTGACATGGCGGCATTTTGCCGGTCACCAGAGGGAAGTTGGGCTAGCTGCATGATCAGATCTTTATACTTTAACGTTAGGTTTAAGGCCGTATTCGTGTGAATGGTGGAAGAGCCTGCATGCAACTTGTAGCTTGGCGAGACGAATGCTTCCAAAGTAGAAGATAGAGCTTCAACCGCCGCGAGAGTACAAGCCAGCTTGCCTCCGGGCGTCATATTAGGATCCTGGGCATACCTCTGGAGAAAATGATGCAAAAGGGAATCACAAGCATCGCTCTTCTGATGCGTAGGAATTGATTCTACGAAAGGCTTTACCCAAGAAATAGCCGCAGGACCTTCCAACACCAAATCATGCTCCCCAGATTGGGTGAGCAGTGATTTGAAGGCAGGGCTCCCCAGTATCTGTTCAGCAACAGCCGTATGGGAATAATGACTATATGCATCCCAAAATGCTTTAGGTGACTTTCGTATCAGAGAACAGAAGGCCTTCAGCAGTACTTTTAAGACCGAAACCGATGTAATCCGAGGCATTTGGGCCAGCATTAAATCGTATATGTTCGGCTGGACGGACATTGCTCGCAGAGAATGGAATACAAGATTCTCATCGAGGACGTCGAGGATATAAAGAAAGCCTTGCCAGAATCGAAGCAGGAATTGGGGAGATGCATTGGTATCATTTGCTCTTAAAATTGCATTCACCAAGTTGTCGTGAATTGCCCACTCAAAGTCCTCGGCGGTAATAGAAGGTTGTCGAGAGAATGTGTGGACGGCAAATCTATTACGAATTTCATTCTCGTCGAAGAGAAAGAAGGTCATAGTCGGTAGGATCTCATCCAGCTTAAGGATCTTTCGTTTCTGGATGGATTCAAACACATAATTGAATTGCTTTCGGTTTTCTGGCAAGCTCAAGTACGGCATGCAGCAAATAGCTTCATAGAGAGATATAAGGAGCTCCTCTTTCTCCTCCTTGAGGAAAGTATTTTGGCCGGCTACGCCATTGTGGGCATTGATGAATTCGGCGGCGGCTTCGAGGCCCTGAGTGATGCGGCTAAAGTCGAATTGGTTCAGGCGGTCTTCCATCTCGGACACGACACTGTCGTCATAAACCCTACTCTATAGGTTAGCACGCCCCCCCAAAATGTAATCGAAATAACCCTTACGTAGAAATATCCTTAAGAAAGGACTTTCGTCCCTTGTGCCAATTGCGCACACAAGTTGGGCAGAGCCTCAGGAAATTGTTGGTTCGTATCCCGAATTCCTGGCCTAGATCCCCTGCCGAGTCCTCGGCCAACCCTAGTACCAATGAACATGTGTATGTCTGGATCAACTTATGCTTGCCTTGCTCGATCCTATCCTTCTTCTCGGCAGCGCTGATTTTGCTTGGCGCATCCGGATCGTCATAGATCTCGTCATCTTCGTCGGAAATCTTTGGGCAGCATAGGTGGGAAGTTTCAGGGAACTGGCGGAAATTATCGAAAGCAGTCACAAGTACTTTGGGGATGGACATGTTGAAATGTATTGGGGCATGTCCCTATAGACCCCAAATCAACGTCGCGAAGTCGAAGGTATGCTACTATTCGTTCTCAGTTTTCCATCCGTTTCAGTAAATATCGTCTAGGGCTAAATGACAAAGGCTTGCTGCTTTTGTTGGGTTAATGAGATTACGTATATTGAGTTAATGTAGGGCGTTCGGGCTTGTCTAGAAATTATAAGGAAGGGATGGTGACAAAGGAAAAGGTGCAAATTGAATGCGAGGGCTAGCACAACAGATATGCTCCGCTATACGAGCAGACATAGCCTTGCGCGCGAGAGAAATTGAGAGGGAAGCGATGTTGTCGCGTTGAATTGTAGAAGAGTAAGTGCATTAGGTACCGTAATGTGCTTCTGGCGCGTGAAGTTTCAAGGAACATGCCAATGTATCTATCGATAAGAATCAATTACGCTAGATAAGGTAAGACCAAGGAAGGGAACGCGCCTTTGCTGCATGGGGGGGGGAGGGCTTATTTAATCTTGCTTACCTAAGTACCTAAGTGCATGTATTTACCCTCCCATTAGCACGCGAATAGCTTCAATAACATATCCCATCCATAGGTACCTACCAGGTATGTATGAAATAGTCCTGCACCAATATGGCATAAAATACACTAATTAGATGAATCATAGGCTAAAGTGATTTAAGGGGATAAATATGGAAGCTCGTCGCATTTTCTGTCTAGCTACTTCAGTTCTACTATACTGTTGCCCATGCTACAGATCTAGGTTACAGACTTGTCCCTTAAATCAATACCACCTAACCACCCCCTGTAGCATAACCATTAGCTACATACATAGTTCCATGAGAGCACCCGCCTCTCTAGTGTCCATATGGGGCACCCCAATTTAGTGGGAAAGTATAAGCTAACCTAGTGCATTGGACAGAGGTCATGCTGGTGCTACTAGTAAGAGTGTGCACCTAAGGTAGGAAAATCAGAGGCTTCGCCATATTTTCTCCGTCACATCTTGCTAAATTAGGACTCGTCCATAGATTCGTCCTTCTTCTCTTCATCTTGTCTTCCATCTTGTTCTTCGTCCTTCTGTTTAATTTTCTTAGCCGGCTTCGACTTAGCCTTTGACTGCTTCTTGTCGTAGCGATCAAGAAGGCTCTCTAAAGGGCACTCAGGAAGCATATCCCAATCTGCTGTTCCTTCGGCAGTGCTTGAACTACACTTGCCGCAACGTTGGCCGTGTCGGATGAATAACTGGTGCAAGCCATACTTAAGATGGTCTGGACAGTGGACTTCGAGATGACTGAAAACGTCGGTCACATTGGCATTTTTCGGTACCCATCCAAGCCACTTGGAAAATCGGTAGACATGTGTGTCAACAGCAATACAAGGTATTTGAAAGCAAAAAAGAATGACGCATGCCGCAGTCTTTACACCAATCCCGGGGTATTTCGTGAGTTCTTTTAGGATTTCGTGCTTTGATAAGCCACGAAGGTGTTCAAGGGAGAGATCATATTGATCTGTTGCCTGTGTCTTGGTGTCTTTCTGCTCATTCGTCTCCCTCCCCGCAAGTGCCTCAACTTTGGTTTCAAGGTAGGCTTTGTGTCGTTCAGTGTTCTCCTGGTATACTGTATCGAGGATAGCCTTAATATGCTTGGCTTTGATATTTGCCAGTCCTCCAGAGTGAATTGCATCAACCAAATCCTTGTAAGATCCTAGCCTGACATTGTTCCAGTTAATGCTTTCTTTTCCAACCCCCTCCTTTGATACACCATATTTCTCGGCCAAGGGTATCAACGTCATGTCTATATGCTCTATTCTTGTAGCGCCACTTAGGAGGGTTCTAAGTAGCCCATCCAGCACAGAAGGGACCTCACCACACCCCATTACTTCAAGCGAGGGGGCAGAGATAGCTTTGGGTGGCTTGACTTCACCATGCATTTCTGTGAGAAAACTGTGAACTTCTTCACACTGTTCGACGCTTGGTGCTAACCACTGGGGAAAGGGACTCTCGCCTGGTGGCATCAGACCATACTGGTTGTCCTTCGTTTTCTTCGCTATACTTTTTAAATGACCCTCGCCTGTTTTTGTGACCTGGCTTTTCACCTTCTTTGGCTTAGGAAAGGGGGTACCGGGATCTAATCCTTCATCGGCTGCTGTTGGGCTGAGCTTCAATCCTCGCTTTCGTTTCTTCGGTGCTCCCTTATCACTTTGCTCGCCAGGGATCTGTTCTACCACAGCAGAATCAAGACTATCAGCTTCGATTTTAGACACTTCGGGCTCTGACTTTAGCTTCCTCGGCCGTAACTGTCGATCGGTATCTTGTTTGATGGCCGTCTCAATATTCTCAGCCTCACACTTTTCCTCCCCTGTCTTTGGCTCAGGGGGAAGATCTCTATTAGACTCTAGGACTTCTCCTATACCAACCTGTTTCGGGACCTTTATTTTGATGATAATCTTACGTCTAGTACTCTGGGGTGCGGTGTCATCTTCAGCAATATAAAGCTGAGTAGAGCGTGTTGCCAAGGGGGTTTTTTCTGTTACTTCAGATGCGGCCTTTTCCGGAGTAGCGGCTGCGGTCGCAGATGTTGAATCTACAAAAGATAATAGCTCGCCGACTGAATGGGACTCTGCCGAAGATGGTGACTGGGTAATAGGTGGCGTTGGAATACGAGACTTTACTTCTTGACTTTCAGCTGTTAGGGAAACGCCCATACCATGTGGCAAGACATCCCATCCGCCTTTAACAGGCGCAGCACGACCCTTGCGACGTTTCGGCATCCTGTATAGATACCAGGTGTGGTTGTGTACTAATAGGAGCGTTGGCTATATCGGACAATACGGCTAGTTGGGATTTACGGGACAGTAAATTACGGAGTTGGCGATTGACATATGGCGAAAAATAGGGATATGCTGGTAGTAACGCTAGATCTCAACGTCTATCAGTTGTAAAGAGATGCAACTTTATAACGTTGACTATGACTATGTTGAATACTGTTGGTGAAGGAGCTATAGTCAGATAATAACATACGGCAGGAGGTACCGGCGACGGGGGTATATGTTGAGCGGCTTATCTTAGGTCCGCTGGAATATTGGGTGTCCTCTAGCGGTACAATTGTGTTAGGGAGTGCCGAATATTGAGGACAAGAATATCAATCAAGTACATGTATATGATAGAAAATGTCAAATTCACCAATTAAGACATCTACTAAGTCAAGGAAGCAGCAGGAGGAGAAATTTCAATCTGGCAGGGGAAACTGTGACCTACCAGGAAAGAGCGTTATAGTTGGCTACAACTACTTTAATAGTTAGTACGTAGGTACCTACCTACCTTAAACAATATGGAAGAACAGAGAAGTCACAGTCCCGTCAAATCTAGGAACTCAATTGAAAGCTTTCTTTAAGTCTATGAAAAAGACTATGTCAAGTCTATGAGAATATATTCACATGCATTTATATCACTAATACAAAATTTGTGAATGATAAGAGTACCTAAGTTATAATATCTCGATGGTATAGTATAAGAGTTTTTATCAATGATAGGAACGGTATAGTCAACTGTTATATTTAGAATCGTGATAACTGACCTGGCCAATTTGTAATGGCCTTGTTTGACTAAGGAGCGAACAAGAAGCAATAGGTACAGCACTCACTCACTATCAGGTACATAGATAGCACTATGTCAAGGTAACTTGGCAATAACTAATGCTTGCATTGCATGATCCGCCTGTAATAGAATCTCGCCCAGTTGTCTAGATCGTTTACTGAACTGCTAACCCTATCTATCTCCTATGGATAATATGAATTATCATCGTCGCTCAGGTTCAGTGGCCACGTTGTGGAGGCTAATATCTTCTCGAATTAAAGGTGAAATGGTACCATTTCTCAGCTTCTCAGCTGACTCCTTCTCACCTCCTGGTGCTGTGGCATGTGGCGCTGAGCCATTCGTGTCGGTTAGGCCACCCCCTACAATTATCGTTGGGCCACTGCTAGAAATTTGTGCATGTGTAGCATGCTTTCGTTTCGTGCCGCGCAATTGGTTCAAATGCTCGAAGTAGCCTTCTGGCACCGGCGTAATATACTTGCCACAGAATACACCAACCTCAAATTGAGTGGGACCGTCTGGTTGTGCAAGCTCTGCACAGGCTGCCTTTAGGTCATCGAGATCTTGATATATTACTTCCTCTGCATCAATACCTACGGCTTGGGTTAGTACTCAATTCGAGGTAGATATAAGATTCAAATTTGTATCTCAAACAGCTAGGCGGGGGCATAGCGAATATCTGGACCTACTTTTGGCAATGGCAAAACGGTCTTTGCCGGAAGCAATCAATTCCATGGGGCTGGCTAAGTCAACTACACATACGTGGGTTAGCGAATCGGCTACAGTTACATGGTCCATAGTTCAAAAGGACCCAAGACACAACGGGGTACGGATTACTTACTGCCGTAGATGTGCGGTGCGGTGATGGGCGGAGCACAACTCGCAAATATTACTTTCCGCGCGCCAGCCTCTCGTGCCATAGCCACGATTTCCTTGCTGGTTGTTCCTCTTACGATCGAATCGTCCACAAGCAGAACACATCGTCCTTCGAATTCGGTCTGTATAGCGCTAAGCTTCCTTCTAACTCCTTTTTGACGAGCTCCTTGCTGTGGCATACTATAAACACCTGATTAGCAGGGATCCAAGAAGAAGAGAATCGCAGGTTGCAATGCTAGTTTCATAATAGCACAACGAGGGCTTCAAATCGATTAGGGAAATAAGGGTAACGAACATGAATGTCCTAAAAACATATCTGTTCTTGACGAAACCTTGACAGTAAGGCTTGCCCAATTGTTCGGAGACGCTTGCAGCTGCTGTATTCGACGTCTCGGGTATCGGGATAACGGCATCGATATCTTTAATTGCTTCATCTCCAAGAAGCTCTCGTATCTTATCGGCTAGTTTATAACCCATTCGCTGCCGGGAGGCGTGAACACTAATGCCATCCATGACTAAGAATAGGGTTAGAAAATGACTAGCTGAATGGACAAGGCTGTTCTGAACTGACTAGTATCGGGCCGTGCAAAATAAACCTACAATATAAATAATTAGCAAAATCTCGCTGGCTAATTTGAATACACCACGACATTTTAATGCGAAGGGCTCGTGGGACGAAAGCCTAAACTAGGGAGGGGTGCTGACAATATAAAACATCGACGTACATATTCAAAAATATCAGGCGAGTAAGCCTTCTGCTTTTGAACCTGGTGGAAAACAGGTGCTCGACCCTTTTGAATAAAAACGGCCTGGCCGGGTAAGATATCCCGAATATTACGGAAACCAAGTTGGCGTAGGGCAATAGACTCTGATGCAAGCATGTAGTCTTTTGCGCCTGGAAGAGTCTCTGACTCCTTTTCTCCAAGAACTAAGGGTCTGATTCCATAAGAATCGCGGAAGCCTAAAACACCGAATCCTGCAATCATAGCAGTACAAGCCCAACCGCCCTAATTAAAGTATTAGTATTGAGATGAGACAGATCATGACTTTAGTAGCATAACGCACCGAACAACGATCATACATTCGACCTAAGGAGGCTATAATGAATTAGCATTTTAGTAAATATCCTTGGAGCATCCTCACTCCATAGTACAGGGTCTACATGGATAGGGTGCGACGGTGGACATGTATAATGGGGGAAAGTTGGTGGATTTGCAAACAGGAAAAACTCACTGAATATGTCATCCGTGTTGACTCTAGCCTTTCCAGTTTCATTCAGTTCGTTCGCAAACACATTTAGCATGCTAAACCCTCTTATCAGCCTTGACCGTCCTTATGTTATATATATTATAACCAGTATAGCTAGAGTGTGAATATCGACTTACAGTTCGCTGTCGCTATCTGTGTTTATATGTCGATGGGCGACAGTATCAAGATATCGGCGTAACTCAGGGGCATTGATAAGATTTCCGTTATGGGCAAACTGTAGCATCTCTCATTAGTAACCGCTTTCTAAAAGCATAAAAAAAGAAGAAAGCTTCTTGATTTATGAGAATACAGATGCACTCATATGCCCTAAGTTGGATTTTTTTATCGAGGGTCAAATATACTCGACATGTTTCCACAAGAGAGTGGAGCTTTGGAGATATCACCATAGGAATAACTTACACATATGCCATAAGGACTATTAACGTAAAATCTATTATTTGTTAATACTCATAAATAATTCTATCTCTCCCATCACGGAAGAATCCACGGGTTGCTGGGGAATATATGATAGAAATGAACGGATAGCATTGCAACATACTATTAACATGTTAGCCCCTTTGACTTACTACAAAAGCTCATATGCCTCAATGAGAAGTAAATGCAACTTGTTTAGCTAGAGAGGACTATTACTTACCGGTTGTGACTCAGCATTTGATGAAGTACCGGCTGTTGGATAACGTAGATCTGGACGTTGAGTGTTAGTAAATGTTTCGTTGTAAGTGCTACAAGTGGTAAGGGTGGAGCAATCTTTTCGATAACTTGACTTCAATAGGTAAAAGATAGTGGCAAGGTTCCTGATAATGAAAACACATACGTCCAATACCCATGGAACCAGGCAAGTCCTGAACCCTCATGCCATCGCCGAATACTTTAGCGGCCATTCCATTACCCTAGTATGGATGTTAGATATTGATAGTGTTTTAGGATGAAATATCTGTGAGGCTTACCTTGCATTGATATATGCGGCCGCCAGCAGCGCAAGTTGCTATTCCGCATGCTAATGAATGTTAGCTTCTTCGTTGTCTATCATATCCCATTTATATCGCAATCCTGTCGATCTTGTTACAGGTGTTTACTAACCATCTTGGCCTCTATGTTGCAAGAAGTACAGAGCCTCATGAAGCGCAACTGCAGCTTTACACGGGGAATTGGGGTCGTCACTGACGTGGCCCAAGATCAAGCCGATTACACCACACATGATTGCAGCTCAGGTTGCGCCAATGGCTATGCCTAATAGGTATATAGTTAGCAGAAAAACTCTAATTATAGTGCCATAACACCCTCCCGATAACAACACAACAGCAGTTGTGCAGAGCAAAAAAGGACTCGGGCTCGATCCACACGCCAAGACGCATTCAGACTCGAGATTTATGTCTGACAGTGCTGCTGTGTGGCCTCTCGAGACGTAAACATGGAAAATGATATGATATTGTTCAGAGTATGATTATCCGCAGCATTGACTAGGCAGTCGAACATTTATAAAGAAAATAACTCATCATGACAATATTGATGGCTATCCTCGAGGGCAATGGTCTTGTTATAAGCCATGATTGCTTCCACGTTTATTCCCATTCTTCCATGGTTAGGCGGAATCTTGAATCGGGAAATCGGTGGGATCAATGGCATCAAGCTTCTCTACCAAATAGTAGGACCACATATTCGGAAGGCCATTTATATGATTTAAAAATAAAAAAAGAGAAGCACTTGGTTATAACTTACCTTGCTTACCTCGATTTTCTGGGCGGAATGTGTGGAAGATCGAGCTGGATAGTTGATCGCGGGGCAACGCCACGTACTCGATTAAAGTGCTCGTCGTGTTACGTGCAATTACCGAGGCTTGTCCGCAAAATGAAGACCGTTTGAAATTAAATAAGGTCTTGTACTCGTGTGAGTTCAAGTTACCTGCCGATGATATGAGTGTACACTTTGGAATGGAAGTGCAGAAGCACTTGCACTAGAGAAAAAAAAGCGCGCGACCAGCATCGTGATTTAAATCTGGTAATTTTTTTTCTTTCCTATCTGAGGAGATCCAAAGGTTTGCGACCAAAAAACGTTGGAGAAAAATAGTGGGGTAGAAACTGTCGTCCTCAGATGATTGGATGTACCGGTTGCTGGTTTTTTCCGAACTCTAACCTCAAGCACTTGCAGGTGCCCCATGCTTTCCAGCCTCTACCTGCCTAACGGTCACCCAGGGTTCTGGAATTCTCGCCGACTTGTCGGAGCAATCGGGCGCTCCGGAGGGGATTTGACGTTCCATTGCGTTAGATCCAAGTCTCTTCAATATGCACGTGGCAGTTATCATAGTTGCAATAAAATTATGAAATGGCAGGTTGATTATCTAGGATGACAAATGATCATCTATTAATGAGATACCAATGAAATATATCTTACAGCTACGATAGAATGAGCCATTTCTTCTTCTACATTTGTTCTTCTTTTACATATTATGTAACCTAGTACGTACCTACTAGTGTGAATTGTTTCACAATGTATAATAAGCATGAGCTAATTCGTTGTAAGCAATCTTTTGACTAACACTTCTCCGTATTAGGAGAGGTGGCAAGGTGGAATGCAATAGCGGAGTGCGCGACTAACCTTCTAGGGTCATAGTTCGTCCCATTGAGTCTCTTAAGAGTTCAGATCGAAGTTCAAGACTAATGAATTAACCTAACCTAGGTACTTTGTCGAATGTTTTCGAAGTCAATATTCTAATACTCAGCAATTGTTAATTGCTTTGCAAGCAGAATATAAGACGTATTTATGCATACAAGGTCGCTCTGTAATTAAATTTAAAGAGTAAATATAAACCATCTTAGTTATATAATAAACATCAATCTTATACCGCTTGAACTTAACCATCATCTATCTATAACTGCCTAACAGGTAACCTATTAGGCATTTGACCTCTAAGATCGAGAACTCATTTCTATTCTATTTCTATAACCAATCCAAACTCAAACTTCGGGTTAAGGCTCAGTATATGAACACTATTAAAAACACAATGTCTAAAATGCTCTCGCATGCTAAAATCACTCCTCATCGGTCGGCTGCTCGTGGGCACTCGGATCATGGTTGGCTCAATACTTACCACAGTTTTTCGTTCGCCGACTGGTACGACCCTAGGTTTACGCACTTTGGCTCGTTGAGGGTGTTAAATGAAGACCGAGTCAAGCCGAATTCGGGGTTTCCAACACACCCTCATCGCGACTTTGAGATTTTTAGTTACATCATTTCCGGCGAACTAACCCACCGGGATAGTATGCTTCGTAAGGGTGCCGAGGGTGGGCAGTCGGACAAGTTTTATCGGATGCGTAGAGGGGATGTCCAGTTTACCACCGGGGGCACGGGCATTGCCCATTCCGAACAGAACGAGCACGCAAGAGATACAGTTCATTTCCTCCAGATCTGGGCAATTCCATGGAAACGAGGACTCACCCCTAGATATCACACTCGCCATTTTGATGACGAAGAGAAGCGCAAGGGTTTCGTGCCTATTTTGAGTCCGATCAAAGGTGGTCCGGAGGCTACATTTGAGCAAGAGAAAGTTGCCGAGCCGACAATTGAGGGGACCATACCCATTCATGCCAACTTCGTCATGGGAGCCGCTTTGATCCCGCCTCAGGGAAAATTCGATTGGGTTATTGGGGCCCACATCGCGGAGAGCAGCAGAAGAAAGGTGTACATTCACATTCCGATGACGAAGAAAGGACAAGCAAAAATCCGACTCGACGGCCGTGACGAGGTTCTTAACGAAGGCGATGGCGCATTTATTGATGGTGTTAATGCAGGGGACAAGTTGACTGTGGAGAGTATTGGTGAAGTTGAAGCCGAGGTCGTGGTTCTCGATACAGCGTGATTGGATACCATACGCAATCAATCATTTAACCTAGTTAAATCTCGGTTGGTTTTTACTTTTATCTCTTCTAGAATTGTCTTCCCACCTAACATAATCATAGTAACAATTTTTGTTAAAGGAAAAAATGAGTCTCTGCTCATTAGCGAAGAGCACCTAACTTGATTAAATGGCAGATAAGCAGCATTTATTTCGAGGGTATAGACGCATATATAACCAGTATCATTATCAAGTTACATATAAGTCGTCACCCGAGCCTAGGTAGTATACGTGTAGGCATGGATGCGCAGGATAGATTTTGCGCAATTGCGCAACGGTTGCAGAGGGGAAACCTGTCAGCATTCGTCACCTCAAAATAATACAATTCCCAATTTAGCAAAATATATAATTTCTCTACATGATTCATGATTCAACTTCGCTCCTTAAGAAATTTCAAATCAAGGGCCTATCATGGAATTGGCATGCCCAGAAAATTTAACCCGAGATGCATCACCACCTGAATGTGGAAGAAGCGGGATTAGTACTGGTGATGAAGGCGTTGACCTAAAAGTCTGCCAAAGCGAACATTTAGCACTCACATTGGAATCACGCATACTTCCTAAGCCTCATGAACAAATCTCGCCACTACCAGGTAACGTCTATGAACATCTTTTATATCAGACTATCGTCTTGTCTAACAGTTCCATTCTTAGATGTATTCATCTTTGCGCAAGGACACACCCGAACAAGAAAACAAAGCGGTAGGTTGGATTATGATATATTGTATTTTTGTTATCACAGAAGAACCGCAGCTAATAATAGACCTTTCTTTTCTTTTCTTTTTAGTAATACTTGCTTGCCTTACTTGTAGACGAAGACAAATCCGATGTGATATAACGAAATTAGAATCGTCATCCTGTTCACCTTGTGCGCGAGCAGGAATTCACTGCGTAGTACGGCATGGTGGACAGCGCGAAGAGCGACCAAAGGAAGCATCAGCCTCGACAGCAATCCCACCACGCAACCCAAAATTTTCTCGCTCGGGCAGGAAACCTAGGAGTAAACGAGGATCTATGGTGCTCCAGGAACGAGATGTTAATGCAAGGAGCGACACACAATCGATCGGATCTCGACAGTCTCATAAATCCTTCATATCGAACATATCAATTGGGTCGATAAAGTCCGCCATCTCACATTGTTCCATCTTTTCAGTGAAGTCCATTATTTCTCAAAGATCTCGAAAGTCACTAAGATCTCTCGCATCATGTAAATCGAGCAGGTCCTTTCAATCACTCGGGACCTGTGACAGTAGTGGCTCGAGGTAGGTTTTTTTATTACCTTACTACTTATGAATTTAGATAGTTAACCGTATACAGTCATGGAGGATGTAGTCAGAGCCCATATGGACAATCAACCCAAGCAATTCATGATTGGGATGATGGATGGAAATCCTCTCAGTTCCCAGAACCGCAACCTGTGTACACACATCTCTCCCTAATATGCGGCAGACCAGACCAGTTCCATGGTACAGAGGCGGCCGTTGAGCCACCTTTTACTGAACTACCCCTTAAGTATACCGTAGATATACCACGCATGAAGGCAGTTCTGAGAGCTGCCGAAACTGGAAATGATCAGCTTATAGACTTTCTATTGTCCTCTTCTTTGGCGGACGCGGACCAACCTCCAATTCCTGGGGGGACTGTGGTGTCCTCCACGCCTATGTTAGCTGCTATAGGTCGAGAGAATATCAAAGTTATCGAGGTCCTCTTAAAACAGAAGAATTTCAACCCCACACGTCAATTCTGGGGGCTAACCTATTATGAAATTGCCGAAAAACGTCGCGGGTCAGTCTGGGAAGACGAAGTACGCCTCCTGAAGCATGCTTTCAACTATGCATACGAGCACCAGAACAGAAAGGCAAACAATACAGAGCAAGTGATATCAAAAGTAGCAGCTAATCGATCGTGTTTAAGTCCTCTGAGTATATCGGGAGAGAACATTAATGATAGTAAGCAGTCCTAGTTTACTTACAGAGATAGCCTGAAGAGAACTAATCTAGACAGTAGGCTCGCAGGCTTATCTTTACGACTGCACATGGTGTCGATATTCTTTTAGCCACGAGAACCAGCTAAAATTTCACCAAGAAAGATGCTTTGCCCGTCCATTCTCTATCAATGATAAGTCAGATTTGAGTCATAAGAAAATCGTTATGCACTTAAGACTTCAGTACGTAACCCCCATTCCAAAGCATCTTACTAGTTTCTAATATAAAGCATGGTAGAACATCGAGCCTGATTAGACCTATACGAATTCCTGTTCATCCAACGCCTACCGCTCAATATTGTACTATTCGTAGAACAGCTAGTGACCTCAACGTATCAGCATTAATCAACAAACCGAGATGCCACTCAGCTAGACCGCAGGGCCACAGCAAGATGATAGATATAGATATGACACATCTGGGACCATTGGAGAACGGCATGCATTCAGGGGGTTCGCTCATTGGCTCGCCACTCGTCACCAATGATAATTTTCATGAGGATCATGGGGCGATTAGGCTACCAGTTGACAACTACTGCTTCATGGAGTACTCGCAGGAAAATTCCCAGGTCTCCGAAGGCTATCATGCACATGAACTTCCAAAAGCCGACTCAATGTCCGATTTAAGTACACCCCAAATATCAGCGTCATCGGCGAGAAATACCTCGGAAATTACCAGTCCATTTACGACACCTTCACAAGGTGAGTCTGAGGTTTCAGAGTCTTCGATGAATGAGAGCAGTGACGATAGCCATTATGAGGAAGATAGTTCCTTTGTTCAGCGGGCTGAGCGAAGGAGAACCTTACTCCGTGGTTTGATGGATATGGTATACTCTACATATACTCGTCTTGCTACTTCGGGTGTAATGGAAGACGGAGAATCCGGCCCATCTAATGCTCCTAGAGGAGGCTCGATCTCCGCCAGCCCTTCTAACAATCGACAAAACAAGGGTTATGATGCTAAGGGGAAACGCCCTCTACCAAGAGGTGACGGCAATAACGGGGACGAGGAAGGTGATGATCAGCAACAACCAAAACGAAGAAAATTAGCTACTTATAATGTTGGAACCAATCCAGCAGAGAGATTTGCATGTCCATATTATCAACGGAACCGTTATCGACACCTACCAAGAAATTACTCGCTCAAAGGAGCTTGTTACGGCCCTGGATTTCATTCGGTACATCGAGTGAAGTGAGTCTATCCTACACCAAGAGTGATACGATTTGTGATGAATTTTCAGGCCCTGATCAAGGAGTAGGGAACACCTTTATAGGGCACATAGACTACCACCATGTTGCTCTCGATGTAATGCAGCGTTTGATTCGGATCTTTCTTTGGAGAAGCATACAAGACAAGATCGCCCCTGCGAGCTTACACCAAAACAACTAAGGGAGGGCATTGATCCTACTACCGAAAAATTGCTTCGAATCCGGAACAAGGAATTTAATAGTAAAACGGAAGAAGACAAATGGAGACATGTGTACACTGTACTTTTCCCTGCCGATGATCCTGTAGATTTACCCTCGCCCTGTGAGTCTGTTTCGTTCCTCCATAGTCGTCCAGCGTATCTAATCAAGACAGACTACGGGAACTATCTCGAGACGAGTTCCGTCGAGAGTTCTCCTGAACTTAGACCGACAGCGAAGAGCTATGATGAATTCCTACAGAAGGAACTCTTCCGGAGAATCTATCGAGTTCTGGAGAATAAAATTGACGAATCATTAGACTCGGCAGAGAGGAATGTCGCCGACGCGCTGAAAAGTCAACTAGAAGGAATCATTCGTGATGTCCAGACCGAGCTGTATGAAGAATTTCAGTCGTCTATCAGGCAGAAACAGGCCTTCGACGGAGCTGATGGGATCGCTGCGAAAATGCCGATTCCTGGAATAGACCCGATGCTATTGTTACAGGATATGTTTCCCTTAAGCAATTTGTCCCCACCTTGGTCAGCCCTCAGCCTGGAACATCAACAAGAAGCCTCAAGCTCGTCGGCCCCTCAGCTTACTAACGGATTGGAGGATATATCAAACCTTAGGCTTGACCTTTTATCTAACCCCGTCGAGATCAGCCAGAACCACGACTTCGGCACGGTAACTTCAGTGCCGTTTACGACGAAGGCCACCTACGATTATATATCGGATCACGCGGAGGATCTCTCATTCAGACTTGGCCAGATAATAACAGTTACTGGTGAAGAAGAGATCGACTGGTATAATGGCGAGTATGTCGATGACTTTGGCGTGAAGAAAGAGGGCATATTTCCTCGGAACCTCGTGGAGAGGTACCCTCCTCCTGTGCCACCGCGGCCAGTGAGGGGTCATAAGGAGAACGTGGGGTCTGTTGCGACTACATTTCCCTCTTCGTTCCCGCCCTATTACACAGCTTGGACTGTCTTGAAACCTGGAGACTACAATTATGAGCTATGAACCCATGCAAGGCAGTTTAAGTACTGGACTGTCCTGTTGGTGGTACAGAATATTGCCTTAACATATCCTGGAGAAATATAAAGAATAGAGGGATCTGTTCCAATTGGATAGGTAAATCTTTTAAGAATACCAAAGTTAAGTAGTAAAACCGGTCTTACAGATCAACATTAAAGAGGATGTCAACTCATATATTATACACCTAACAAGCTCATCATCGTCACTACACTTATTTAAGTCAATTATATGATCTTTAATATACAGTGTATATATAACATAAATACCTACCATGTTTACCACTTTAGCATAGACTAAGATGCCCTCCCTCAGCTTCTCTTTCCAAACCTGTGCCTGGGAACATGTTTGGCAGCGATCTGATGCAACGTAATTTTTTCTCCTCCGGCCAGCAGCGGAGCTCACCACATAAATTGGGTTACGCGCATAATCAGCCGTAAGCGCTGTGACCAGAATCGACAACGCCGAGGAGTAAATCCATATAATCAGTTTTGGGTAATCTTACCGGCGTCAGGTCCCGCGTATCAGGCTAGCAGTTCCGTCGGATTTTAACGAGTATCATCAAAAGCCGAGTTCAATTGCGACGAACACAGAGGGAGAGCTAGGGTAACGTCATTATGGCGGGATTAACAGTTGCTGAAAGTCCATTTTTGGGCATTTCAAACAAAATATGGACGCACCGCGTCACCATCTACCTAGAGTGTTGCTCGTTATATAAGTACCGCCGACACTAAGAGGAACTTAAAGGGGGATAAGTCTGTCTATAAGGTAGATCAGGTGCTAAAGAAGTTCGGCGGCCTAGTCGAGCTCTCGCGCTTAGCTAGTTGGTAGCGCTCAAGACTCCACAGGTGAAAAAAACATGGTCCTCTTTAAGGCATGTTAAACATGATTAAAAGGCGCTTCGGTAGGGTTACAACATCATAATCAAGGTGAAAAGGGAGAATTGTGAATTATGATAGCAACCAAATATGAAGACTGTATACTCTACTCCAAAGCTTTTTAGTCGATAGCCTTATTCCTCGGTTGTCGTCGTCGAGAGCGATGATCTTTCCCTCTTCACAAAAAACTCCCCATTAAACAATCTCGATCTAAGCGAGCCTCAAATGGTCTGACGAAGAAGCAAGCCCCTAGGTTAGCCTAGTCTGTCTAGATCTTAATCGATCTCCACGCAGGGCCGTTCTTTGGCCTATAGGCTTCCCGCTGCGCCGTGGAGATGCTTTCAATATCCGGCCCTCGCAGCCGGCCAATCGCTGTCCCCTGTCAACCCCGTCAACCACATTTAGAGAGAGCTAAGTTCTAGGCTGAGCGCTATGCTTGTTCCTGAATTTGATAACCTTCCTAATTCTAGCAGCGCTGTGTACTTTTGGTATATTGTAACTGATCGGGCGATGACTCTTCTGCCTACTATCATGGGTCGCTTCGGCGCGAAGTCCCATTCGGGACAACTCAATCTCACTCCATGAGATTCGGGAAATTATTAGGCAGGAGATAAGTAGGCACCGACTTAGAACGGACCTATCTCATGCCTTAAATTTTAGTCACACATTGTAGGACCTCACTATACTCTAGTGTACGGCTGTCACTATGCAGGATAGCCAACCCCTAACTCGGGCGAGAATCGCTGGGTTCGAATGGTTGCTCTTCGTTCATAACCGCGCCGCCTTCTGTCTCTCTCTCTTTTTTCTTTTCTTTTTTTTCTCATCACCACCAGTTGAGTTGACAAGAAACGGCATATTAGCCAGCCGTGGCAAACGTCTTGTTTGCGTCCTTTCGTTGAGTAGCTTGACGATCACATTCATTACGGCCTTGGCCACTTTACGATCTTTACGTATCACATAATCTCTTAATACGTCGTTCAAGATGCAGTTGAAAATTTCAGTTTTGGTTGCCGCCCTTTCGGCTTCCTCTGCTTTTGCTACTTACACCAAAGACTATAAGCTGAATGCTTATTGGGTATGATATTGCATTATCAGATATATCTCTCATATATACTTACTCCTATTTATAGGGACAATCAGGACCTGACACCGATAGTCTTGGTACGCACTGCGAGTCCGATAGCATCGACTATGTTACTCTTGGTTTCGTGAACAACTCTCCCGAAAATGGAAACGGCACTGGATACCCGGGCACAAACTTTGCTGCTCACTGTGCGGCCGAGGTTTATGTCAACAACAACCGGAACTCTAAGCTTCTCAGCTCGTGTTCTTTCATCAAGGATGACATCAAGAAGTGTCAGCAGCTGGGCAAGAAGGTGTTGCTTTCTATCGGAGGAGAATTCACTTCCTCGAGCAACTATACCCTCTCCTCTGTACAGGCTGGTATAGATTTCGCCGACTTCCTTTACAAGGCGTTCGGTCCTTTCAAGAGCGGCTACAAGGGGCCTCGACCTTTCGATATCAGCAGCACGGAACACATCACTGTCGATGGTTTCGATTTCGACATCGAGACCAAGTTCAGTAAGTTCTACCCCTTTATTTCGCTCCCTAATTTCGGTCGCGTCAAAATTCGTGGCCGTACTAGTATATGTCTACCTACCTAGGTATATATACTGACTAGCATTATTAGGCAACCAGCAGCCATATGTCAACATGGTGAACCATCTTCGTGACCTCATCACCGCTGACAGCAAGAGCATTCTTCTCACTGCTGCTCCGCAATGCCCGCAGTCTACTGATTATTTCCAGATGAAGATCATCCTTCAGCAGGCTAAGTTCGACAAGATCTGGATCCAGTTCTATAACAACCCCATCTGCGAGGCCTGGACCACTGGCTTCAACTATAATGACTGGGAGAGCTTCATCAGCGGCGGTGTTAACAGCGCCGCTGAGCTCTTCATCGGTCTTCCCGGCAGCGCTTCCGCTGTTGGCCTACTCGGAAGCGGCTACATCCCGGCTCAACAGGCTCAGGATCTGATCTGCACGTACAAGAAGAAGGAGCACTTCGGCGGTGCCATGTTGTGGGATGCCTATTATGCCTCTCAGAACAAGAATCTTGCAGGAAAGAACTACTACAACTTGGTTGCTGAGGCCTTGAAGTGCGGTGGCTGTGACGGGGATGTCTGCAAGCCTGTTACAACTAGCAGCTCGGCTACGACTTCGTCCACTACAAGCTCCACCACAAGCTCCTCCACTAGCTCTTCCACTAGCTTTTCCACCTTGTCGACCGTCAGCACCACCAGCTCGTCTATTTCCTCGACGGCCAGCACTACGTCTACCTCGAGCTTTGCCTCTAGCACTAGCAGCAGCATCTCTACTTCCAGCTCTGTTGCCACATTAAGCAGTGCTTCGAGCTCAAGCTACATTGCTACATCCAGCAGCACCTCCAGCTCAGGATATCTTGTGACATCAAGCAGTGCTTCCAGCTCAAGCTATATTGCTACGTCTACCAGCTCCTCAGTTTTCAGTTCCAGCTCCTCCAGCTCCACTAGCTCCTCGGCCTCCAGCGCGGCAACTAGCAGCAGCGTGTTTTCCACATCGTCTTCTTACGACTTTACCTCCAGCAGCTCAGCATCTGCTAGCGAAACCTACGCGGACAGCACATCGTCTTCCAGCATCGCGACTGCCACAGAGTCCTTGACAAGCTCATTGATTACAAGCAGCAGCACTCTCTCAGTAATCTCCACCATCTCTAGCTCTTCGTACAGCGCCTCGGCCACTTCTTCGGAAGACGACTGCCCTCCTGATGAGACCTCCAGCTCATTCGCCGAGTCGTCCACTTACAGCGTCTCAACCAGCAGCTACCCTACCGTATCGGTCACATCCAGTGTTTCGAACAATGCCTCGGCTAGCAGCTATCCTACCGCTTCCCTGACTTCCAGTGCTTCGAACAGCGTCTCCGAGACCCAGTCTGTGAGCGCAACCTCGTCTCCTTACCCTACCGGTAGCGCCTCCACCACGGAGTACACGACCAGCACCGTCTATTCTACTACCGTTTACACCGTGACGTCGTGCGCCCCTAGCGTCACCAACTGCCCGGCTAAGGGTTCCGTCGTTACCAAGACGATTGCTCTGTACACCACCGTGTGCCCTGTCACCGAGACGCAAAAGCCGACACAGAACCCCACTGCCGTTCCCTACACAAGCACCATCTACAGCACCCGCATCAGCACCATCACCAAGTGCCCGCCCAGCGTGACCAACTGCCCCGTCGGCTCCGTCACCACCGAGACCGTTGCCATTGAGACCACGATTGTCCCTACCACCGTTAAGACGACGGCCGAGACCAAGCCCACTACCTCTGGCGTAGCCTCGTACCCCGTCGGCGGCGGCAACCAATACCACCAGGCCTCGCCGTCCAACGACGTACAGACTGCCGCGGTGTCCAGCTACCCCTTAGCGTCTAACAGCGTGCAGACCGCTGCCGCATCTAGCTATCCCGTCGTGAACACCCCAGCCGCCTCTTCCCCCAGCGTGCAGTCCGTGTCCACCACGCTGACCGTCGCCGTCTACCCCACGGGCAAGAGCGGCTACAACAACGGCAACACCAACGGCACCGTCTCGTCTTACAGCGCCGGCACGGGATACCCCGTCGCACCCACGACTACTTCCGCCGGCAGCGGATACACCGCCATCGTGTGCAACGGCGCTGGCTGCTCGGCCTCGACCTCGTACCCTACGGCACCGGTAGTTACCGCCGGCTCGGCTAAGGTTGCTTCTTTGAGCCTTGGCCTGTTGGCTGTTGTGGCTCTCGTTTTGTAAGAGGAAAGTAGGGGGGATTGGTTGGACGAGTGTGTGTTGGTATAGTTATGTTAATGTGAAATGTATAATAGGTACATATAGCATGCATAGAGAATAATGAGTTGATTTAAACATATTTTAAACTGAATGTTCTAGCGCGTGATATTGCGTGTTATATAAGTGAAGAGATATGAGCATTTGCTTACCAGGTATTCCGAAGACGGGTATGGACTTGGATGCATGACTAGGTCCTTTACGAAAATAAAATAAAATAAAATAAAATGGTAAGCCGAAAAAATAAAAATAAAAACCCATACCATGGTAGAAAACAGCAAAAGAAATGCATCAGCCGCGAATCGAACGCGGGGCCCATCGATGGCAACGATGGATTTTACCACTAAACCACTGATGCTTTATTGGATGAGAATTTTTTTTGCAAGTTTTGTTTATATTACTAGACCATTTCTGTGGTACTCCTTTTTGATTGGCTCTAGAATCTACCCATCTTAGGTCGATATCACATTCAGCTTTCCGAATTGGCATAATTACCACTAACCTAGCGATTACAACATTTCGTGAAGCTTTTCGAGACTATGAATTCCATTGATAGTAGCGTTAACATAGACAAAATCCTTCTACCATACTCGCTCATAACTTAGCACTCCCGCTATTTCTAGACCATTTAATTCCTCTCTTCTTGATGAGAATATGGTCGGTGACGCCCTTGATCTCGTTCTGACACCACACGTTGTGCCCTGATGAATTCGCAAGCGCGAATCCAAACTCGGATAGATGCTCGGGATCCACGCACCCTACCGCAAGATCAATGTCCTCAACCGACTCATTCCGCCAGTACAGAAAGCTGCCGCAATTTGTACAGAACGCGCGCTGAACACCCGGTGTCGCGTAGAATATCTTTAACGTCTCCGTGGACGTGAGGAACGTAAAACTGCTGAGCGGAGCGGTATGTACGATGAAGATCAGTGCGCCCGTGTTCCGTCGGCATTGCGTACATTGACAACTTCCGCTCTATATTGAGTCTTGTTAGTCGGGGCAGCTCAATGCTATTGCAAGCCGTTGAATAGATTATCGTCCTCTCTCTATTCGCTTCCAGCAGCTAGGCGATGCGGTATAAGAGGCTTCGTCTGAGTCCACGAATTTCATAATTTTACATCCTTAGACATATTCTCACTTACTGCTTTTAAGAAATCGTGGTCCTTCGGGAAGTCGACACGGTATCTTATGGAGCCACAGAGACAGCCACCCGTAATAGAGGTTGGCTTTGGGAAATTATCAACTGATACAGACTTGGACATCTTGTTCAAATACCAGCACCTCGAAATCAGTTATGTCGTAAGCGGATTTTCTCTTAAAGATAGATCTAATCATCACATCCCCCATCTAAACTTAAGCACTTAAAAGGTCACATATATACAGAAAAATATATATGAACCCCCGCTTGTCAAACGCGCCCTACGCCACGCCCATGCAGACACCCAAGACATGAAGGAAAATATTGGATGGACCATCTAATGACGAATTGATTTTGTCATATCTCCACCATTATTTGGAGTTGCGCTCATATCGTATGTAGACTCTAGAGTTCGGCTCTGTTTAATACAGAACGGTCAAATATTATAATTTATACTTCATCGTACCTGGTTACAAGACGCGTCGTTTCTTATCTCTTAGTTATCAGTTAAAGCTGCGATTGCGGAATGCCGCCTTGACTTTTAGCGATTGTTGGTTTTAAAGATCACCAATTCTTCAATTAGACTATACTATGCGCAAGGTACCTGATTATATAGAAGCAGGTGCGTCACATTCGTCAGCAGCCTTGGATTATAAAGATATCGGATAAATCCTTCATAACATCACTCCCTTTTACCCTTCTCACGGATTTAAAGATCACCAGGAATTACAGATGGATACCATCGTAATATCACCAACATCATTTTCCGGCGCTTTTGCGTCAGCAGCTTTTCGGCGCTAACTACCTAAGTACTTATCCACGGATTTCCGTGGAACGGCTGTTGGTAATCATGGTATTGAAAATGGTGCTAGAATAGGCAATGTAATGTGCTATGGTCAAATGGGAGATATGTACAGATAGTTATCATGGCCAATCAACAGTATATTCATTTTCGCGTATATAACCATGGCCATCACTCGCCTTGAGTTATGTAGAATTAGCTTGACACCAAGGATCACTAACAGGCTGGAACCAACTTGAAGAGAAGTGGTTGCAATGTATTCTTTACAAACCTTACTAGCCGCTGTCTCATTCATGGTGTCACTTGTCGAGGCTCAAGCGCCGCTGAACGTTGAGCAGTCGACGGGATTCAACTCTAGCTTTGCTCTATCAAGCTCACAGATAGAGTCTGCAAACCTGTCATCAACAGCAGTCACTAACATCAACATTGCTATCAACTTCGACCGCTCCCAACTCGCCAACGGTGGTCCTGCCCAGGACAGCTTCTACGAGCTCCCACCACTTTCCGGAACGCCAATACCTGGTACCCTTCTTAAGGTCCAGGAGTTCACAAATGCGTCGTCTTTTGTTATCCCCCCCAACACAGCGCTCTCGCGTATTCTCTACACAACTTCGAACCTCAACGGAACCGTTGTCCCCGCCTCGGCTTTTATCCTCTGGCCCTTCACGCCTAAGAAGCTCCAAACAGGGAACGGCAGCGAGTCTACTAAAGCACCTGCCGTACTCTGGACACACGGTACAGAGGGTTTCTTCGCCTCAGCCGGCCCTTCGACACATAGGGCGCTTTGGTATGGCAGCGAGGCACCCTTTACCCTGGCCCTTGCAGGTTATGCCGTGGTGGCGCCCGACTACGCTGGCCTTGGTATCCACAAGTCCTGGGATGGTAGCGAGATCCCCCACCAGTATCTAATGTCGCAGACATCCGGACACGATGCTCTCTACGCCTTTCAAGCCTCCCTAGAGGCCTTTCCTAATATTTTGGACGAACGTTTCGCTGTTATAGGCCATAGTCAAGGTGGTGGCGTTGCGTGGGGTGTTGCCGAAGTACTTGCGGCCAAGGGATATGATGAATTTAAGGGGCTTGTGGATGGGTATATCGGTACAATCGCCGTGAGTCCCACTACAGACGCGTTCGTCGGTGAAATCGGTTTCATATTACCGTGGATTGGGATGATTCTACCCAGCATCTTCCCAGACTTCGACCTTAGCACGTGGCTAACTCCGTTGGGCATCGCGCGAACGAAGCTCTTGCAAGAAGTTGAGGGCGGAATAGGCGTTTCGACGCAGCTTTTCTTATCGGGTGATAATATCATCCAGGATGGCTACGACAAGACCTGGTACGTTGATGCGTACGGCAAGCTGGCAAATGCGGGACGGAAAGCCTTCAAAGGCCCACTTCTTGTTATCCATGGCACGGAAGACTATTATATCCCCGAAAATGCCACGGCTGCAACTGTTCATGCCACCTGCAAAGCCGTCCCCAGCGGAGATCTGGAGTACCTGGTTGTTAATGGAACATGGCATGTACCTACTCTTGATGCCACGAGACAGACCTGGCTGAAGTGGATTGAAGATCGGTTTGAGGGCCGGGCACTAGAGAAGACTGGCTGTGTCAAGTCTAATTTGGAGAGCTTCCTACCCCTAGAGCGTTACCAGGTTACGGGAAATTCGTTTCCTCAGTTTGCTGGCTTGCCGGAATTTAGCTACCAAGTGCCCCTAGGACTTTGAGAGGGCAATGTGATAGAGCAAAGTACTCTGCCCCTAAATCATCCCGAGATATCCACCCTGAGAACTATATAGATGCCCACGTCGTTTATAAATCATAGCATCATACTTCTATCAATCTAGAAATTATGCTGGTGCAGTTTATTTCCACGTCCACAACCAGGTGCTATAAATTTATGCATAATCATGCTGTAATATAGCAAGACGTCAAAGATCAATAAGCTCCCTGGCGTAACGACCACGCCGGACTCTCCACCAAGACCACAGGATCACGTCCCGTCAAAACTGGCTCGCCAGTCTCGAGTCTAAAATCGACCACGGCCGCGTCGCCGCTCTCTTCCATGCGCCATATTGCCAAACCAATCCAATTCTCGCCGTTGTAGTTTAGGATCCCCTCTGGAACTGGGAATCGTGTCTGAGGCCCGATGTGGGGTACGTACTTACCAAACTGCCACCCGTTCACATACAGCTGGATCCGCACAGCCCCACCAGCGATATTGCGAAAAGAGAAGGAGAGCGGAATGTCGTATGTAGTAGAAGGGAGGTCGAGCGAAAGCGGTGCAGTATAGAATAATACACCGGGTTTCCCCGGCGCCGAGAATGGCGAACCTAGGGTAAAAGCCTCATTGGGAGGCTGCGGAAAGTGGTAGCCCTGCCTTTCAGCGTAGAGGCCGCCCTCATTCAGGGGACCCCGGGTACGATCTACGTAGTCTTCACCACCGAGGTTGCCAGTGATCTTCCACGATATAGGGGTGCTGTCTAATAATGAGCTAGCGAGGCGATAGTTGAGAATCCCGCGAGGCGCTTTACCGGTGTCGATGCCTGGGACGTAATTGCCGTCTAGTCCCATATGGTCGATCACGATCGTCAAAACGTACGATTCCCCCTGTAAAAGATTTTGAAGCTTATACGTTGCGTCGTAGCTCGAAGCGCTGGAGCTGCCGACCCATGATCCTATAAAGGTACTGTTTAGCCAGACCGAGTGGCCGTAAGCGGTGCCACCCTGGGTTTTGATTTCAAAAGACTTCTCGGTGCCTTTGGCAGTGAAATGGCCCCTGAAGAGCAACACCCCGGCGTTAAATCCGTAATCGCTAGCGAAGAGGGAGGTCGGTGTCTGTAGAGTCTGGTATGAATTGTTTGTTGACTGGTGGTCTGCTGCCAACCAAGTAGAATCATCATAATCCGTCCGAATCTCAGGAAGCGAGTCGAGGTATTTCCAGGATAACCCAGAGAGAGCAGGAATATCGAGCGTTGGAACCGAGTATTGAATGTCTGTTACTATTCTTCCATCTTCCACCTCAAACTCAGTTGCCTTCCCGTTGATATTAAGAACGGCCGTGTTTTGGGGTGCTCCGATAACCTCAACGATCGTCGATCTATTAAAATCTGCGGAGAGTGATAGTACGCCATTCTTGAAAGAGGCGGATCTAACGAGATATGGCCCATTAATAATTAGTGATGATGACTTATTAATCTCAGGTACCCAATAACTATAAGCAGAATTTCGATCTACACTTTTCTATTAGCTTTGGTCATGCGAGCAAAATAATGCACCCTACCTACCTAGAATGTAGATGTGAAAATTATCAATTTGAACAATATTCCTTGCTTCTGGAGTAGACCAAGCTAAAGTTATGAGGTCTCCTGTCCTATTCACCTTAACGGAGTTATCTGATATAACTGAAGTGGTGTCCTTAATTTGCACGGCAAGCTCGTTCATTTCATTCGGTCCACCATAAACAAGAAGAACAGTGGAGTTTTCGAACTTCTGGTGTGTTAGAATTTCTGCGGTAGAATATAGGAGTTTGATTCCTCGAACGTCATAGTCGGTAACTATGATCTTTGAGTCCCTGCCATAGAGAGTAAGATCATCAAATAATGTGGGGATCGAGATCTCTCCTTTCAACGTTGGAAGCTTCATCGTGTAATTATCCGAGGCAATTCTAGAATAGTCACTATGGCGGACGATGAAGAATGACCCGCTACCAGCTGTACTATTTCCAGCAAGCCGAGTTACCGTGATGGCAGCATTATTAGCATATGTCCACACCAGGGCAGCTCCGGGCTCCGCAGTCAGATAATCTGGTGATACCTTCAACCACTCGGCCTGTAACTTTAGTTCCGAATATTTCTCTCTCGTAAGCGATCTGTCTTCTGATATAGCCTAAAGCAAATCTGAGTTAATATACATTTCCTAGGTAGAAAGGCTCCCACCTACCGCTCCATAATCGTAAGATGTATACCCTCCTGGGTGTCCAATATTACCCCAATTGGTCCCTCCGAAAATCTAGCAGCAATTCAGTAAAGATGCGAGAATACCCCGATCGTGACTAACCATGTATATATTGTGGATAGTTGCCCCTGCCGCAAAATTGTTCTTGAAGAAGACACGTTCAAATTCGTGGTTGATAAATGCTGCACAATTGTTGAACCCCGGACCTCCCCAAGGATCATAGGCGCCACCTTGGAACTGGCGATAGATTTAGTGGGAGCAGCTTAAATAGTATAAAAAATCCAGTTACCAACCTCCACGAGAGAGAAAGGGGTTGACGGACTCTGTAGTTCGTGGGTCTGGTGATAGATTCCCGATAATGCCAGTGGCGGCCAGGTGGAAGGGTTTTGCTAGATCTATCAGCGTCACTGGTATTATGAACATGAGGATACTAACGCAGTCAAACATAACCGGATAGGCATCGTGTCCCTAATTCTTGTCAGAATCTTCAGTGCAGTAATATCGTTTAGTGTAGCTCACGTAAATATCCACTGCACCCAACCCCGTACCCGGAGCGTTAGTTCCCAGGGGGGCTGCGTCGTTGCTGATGAGAGGTACGACAATTCCCGCGTTCCGAGCCTGGTCCTCTACATATTGCATGTACTTGCCGCTGGGGAATGGGATGGAGACGCCGACCGTATACTCATTCTCAGGTTGATAAAGTATTACAGGGCCGCCATTAGTAATTTGGGCTTTCGCAATAATGGCACCGATTTGAGCGGCATAGCTGTCCGAGTCAGTTGGGAACTTATTTCCATGGCGATCTTGAGGCTAACTTGTCTGTAGCCGCCAAGTAGTCGTCATCCGACGTCCTTAGGTGTCCCTTGACACGTTGGAGCCATCCGGGGAACCCACCAAAGCTCACTTCGGCATTTATATAAGGTCCGGGTCGCTTGTTCTGTTTAGCTAGTTCTGCTCGGGAGTTTGAGAAATACTCACTGCGATAAGATAAATACCAGCTTTAGTTGCGACTTCGAAAAATTGCTCGTAGGAAAATACACCTTCAGCTGAGAAATTGCCTGGTTTCCCTTCCAACAGAGCCCAGTTGCTATAGAAAGATACGCAATTGAATCCCAACGCCTTAATTTTTTGAAAAATATCAAGCCATAAGGATGGGACGGGTAGCCTCCATGGATGGAACTCGCCGCTCATAACCATGACTCTTTCTCCCTTCACATATAATGAATGGCTATCCCAAGTAACGATGTTTTGTGCCGATATCTTGCTATCTTCAAGGACTATCATGGGTATTCCTCCAGTATCCCAAGCATAGCTTCGAACAGCCCAGAGTAATAACGTCAAAACGCCAAGAAACCGCATGATACACCCGCTATTTTCAACTTGAGATTCCAGAATACGTGTCCGGTAGAGTTTTGCCAGTATGTAGTTGAATAAGGCGGGGACGGCCCCGCGCGTTGTAAACGAACGTTGGAGCCGGAGGATCCCGTTGATGCATGAGCTCCTTCACGTGCCAGAATTAACAACTTTTTGACAATCATAAATAAGTAAACCCGCATAAATAAGGCTCTCAGACCTTTGAGATTTGAACTGAGCTTATGTTTTCACCCTATCTTAAACCCGGGTTCAATGATAAAGTTATCGTACGTAGATCCTAGCAAAGTCCCCCCAGAACACTTAATTTTGCATATAGCTTCACACGCTGTAAGAGCAGTAAACTTATTCGTAATATCTACACCCAAGTATTCATAGCCTAAGTTTCATCCCAGATCTAATAAATAAGTTTGTTGTTTGTGAAATTTCCAAAGGAGTGCCGATTCCCAACTTCTAAATGTATATTCTTACCGAGTAGTAGCTATCTTAGAACCCCCAAGTTCAAATTAAGAAAGAATATTTGCTGTGGCCCAATATAAGCCTAATGATAATAAAAGGATGTAGTTTATCCTTAATAAATCCCTTAGGAGGTACTAACCTACCACCACTGAACATCCTATGAATAAGGTTCGATGCCAGAATTTAGCTTTGTTTATCAAGAACACAACTTGGTGTTGACCTCCCGAGGCTTTTACCGATATATTTTCCATGAATATTTTATACATAAGCAGCAGTAACTATATTAAGGCTTGAACCACCAAATATATCTAATAAAACGTAGCAGTATAAAGGTATCCTCATGAACGTGCGCTCGACTATGAACGAGCCGGTAAGAAGTAGGTCAACTGCGTGTAAGTCAATACCGGGAACAATGACTGAATGCCCACACATTGAAAATGAGCTTGACTGTACATTATCATTGACAGATAAAAACGTGAGTCGATATGATTAGCTGGTGTGGCTTCGTGATTTCAACGTAACGAGTAGCAGTCCTTTTAGAAGAGTACCCATATAAACACGCAGCCGGATAAAGCCATGAATTAAGGAGAGTATCTGCCTAAAATATGATAGACAAAGCAGAAGGACTGAAAGTTTCCATATAAACCATATATATGTTATATTTTCGAGCCTCTGGTCTCTTATATGTTGCAAAAGAAGGCCCCCCCTGAACGAGATAGGAATGACAGTACTCCCCTGATATTTACAAATATTTACAGATACGTACGTAGGCGTGTATAGTCGGCGTCACCATCCTTGGCAGCTGTAGCTGCAGTTGCCTACCAGGTATATAGCAGTGTAGATGCCTACATGTTAGAACTTGCTAGAACATGTTGGGGTTTCCAGTACCATGATTGTTTTTCTTGTGAGCCTTTATTATGCGCACCTACAAATACACAACATACTTCTTACCTACCCCCTAAAACCTACTAATAGCATCCACGAAGATTCGTACATGCCTTAATCTAGAGACTCATGCTAAAGCTACGCACCTTCCACTCCCCTCCTAAGTAATTTACAGAACTTGCCTTAGGTAGGTACCTCTTACCATCCCTCCTACCAGAGGTGACGTGTTGCTTAAATTAAATTACAGGCAGAAAATCGCATCATCCTGTTCCAAGATTTATCCCAAGGCTCAACTGTAGTAAATCTTTTCCCTCGCCTATTATTCTCCTAGGAATACTACGCGCCGTAAGTTCCCCTGCTTTCTATTATTCTGATTGTTACCCTTCCCCCAACCCCTCATTATATCATATCGCTTGACTTCCACCCTAGAACTGGTGCCGTACAAGACGACGGCTTTCCTTCCTCCAATATTATCCCTAGACTAAACCACCCACGAGTCACTTCCCTATACTACCTCGCATATCCACCGCGGCATTCTCTTCTACATAATTCAGGGTACTTTATCATTATTGTTTACCCCATCAACGCTACCTACCCCCCTCTACTTTCACACAGTTACCTAAGTATATCATACTAAGTCTACCTAGGTAGTATCCACGTAGAATCACTACTACATCTCGATATCTGGCTACTTAGCCCATCACGATGTCTGCTCCGAAGTGGACTGCTGGGTCTGCGGGAAGGCCTCTCACACCATCGGCCCCTACCTTCGTTCCCGTCGGTATCAATGCCACTCATGAGGTACTTGATGCCTCATTCGTCACACATACCATTCCAGACATCAGCCCCGATTCCGGAGTTATCGGTCTCTGCGCTGTGTCTCACGAGCGTGCAGGTACTGATGACCTCGGTTGGCACATTGCCGACTTCTTAGCATTCAAAGCACTCCTCTGTGGCGAGACTCACTCGAAAGCTCAGACGTGGCTTTCCCAGTGTGATGTTGTCAGTATTGTAAAGGATTACCCTGAACATTACGTCCACGGCAAGGACCATCGCCTGGTCAATGTCGCTGCCGCATCCTCTTCATACACCGACCGTCATGGAAGTCACCAGAAACGAGACGACGAGATTAAGGTTGAATCATCAGCCGAAAAACTTATAGAGGATTTCCTTATGGCGCTTTCGGACAAGTCTAGGCTCGCTGAAGGGAAGGGTCTTCCCCTAGTCATTATCATTTGTGGCCTTACTACACTAGAGCAGGACGTCTTCTTCGGAAATACTGATCCTAAGCTCCAGGTCACAAGTGAGCGAATGCGCGAGGTACTTGGAAAGCATGTTGATGCTATCGTCATTACCCCTGCTCTATTTTCTGCAGGTTGGCTAGTCAATCCGTCCTTTTGTCAACCACCGGCTAGAAGAATGCGGGCAGACCGCACAGAGTTCCTTGCAAGGCAGTTTGGCGCAATATTTGCAAAGGATGTTGTTGAAAGTTTCTTAAGTTGGTCATGTCCCTTTATTGACTGGGATCAACTTGACAAGGAGAAGAAGGATGGGAGGTTTCCCGGTCCGGCAAAGCCTTCACAGCAGCAGCAAGATGCGATTGTGGCTTTCAAAGTGAAGATCCACAACACCCTCGCAAGTCGATTGTCCGCCGGGCATGGAGACCACTCATTTAGCTTTGAGGCCGATAACGATGACTGGCAGAAGTTAGTTGGTCCCCGCCAGCACAAGCCACTGAGCTACTTCAAACAGAAGTGGGAGAAGCTTGGAGTAGGTGCCGTGGCCACAGGGAACGAGCAGCGACTTGAGTTTCTCGGAGGTGCTTTCGGTGGCAATAGGAAGTCGCAGGAAAGACATATAAAGCACCTTGTATATGACTCGTTCGCTGCTTGGCCCGGATACTGGGTGTTGCCTTTTGGTCGAAGCGCTAGAGCCGCTTTTCACATGTTTCTTGGAAACGATCATCCCGATTACAGGGACTGCCATGAAATCTTCAATATCATAGAGCACCGCTCTACTTCGGCCGTGGTTGCAGACATGTGCCTTAAATACTTTGGCTTCTCAAAACCATATGAAGAACGGTGTAGGGATTGGGATGAGCCAAAGTGGATCAAAGAATCAACCGATTCTACACATCTGGCTGTTAATCGGCTGTTTGGAGAAATCAGCAAGTGCATTCCTAGTGTCAATATGCCTCCTGGTGTCAATCCGAACCACCTCAGCGTCATTCAAAGACGGCTGGAGGTTTCTGCCTCTTATTTATCGGTAGCCATACACAACCACTTCCTTACTCGTACAGGATCCCCCCTGGCAATAGTAAAGAGCATCTCCGACTGTAAGTACACTGAGGCACTATCATTAGTGATTGCTGTTAACATATGGTTAGTTTTTGAAGAGATTAAAGGCCGCCAGACTGAGCTGCTGCTTAAGGATCCCGCGTTGCACGATAAATGTAGCATTTGGTTGAACTCAATTAACCTGCCTATTCGCCGCCGAGACCCTATTACACCTCATGTGACTTCTATGAAGTCCCCGAGAGAAAGCCCACACGTCGCCAGCCAGACTCCTCGAGCTTCTAACAGCGGAGTAGTAGCTTTGAAGTCTCCGACCGCAGTTGTACAGACCGGAAAAGCTTCAGAAACTGTCTCGCCTCCCCGATCCACGGCTAATACGAGACTATCTGGTCTTTCTAATCATCTTCCTGCTGAAATGGAGGAACTACTTCCCGCTATTGACCCAAAAATAGCAATTCGGACACTTACCCAAGAGAAGGAGGATCTGATCAAAGAGCTTATGAAAGCTCCACCCAACAAACTCGTAGAAATCCAGGAAAAGATGGCTGAGAACCACAGTCTCTTGGCTTTCATGGAAGAAATAGCTCAAAAAAAGGAGATGAAATCTAAGAATGGTGCGAATGAATCTGAGAAGCGCATCGGAGTTGTATCGCCATCCATCCACCAGGGTGCCTCTCACGTTCAAAGTCGCAGGGGGGCACTCCAGCCATCTCATGTACAACGAGTCCAGAGCCCTGAGCAACGAATGCCTCCTCATCTCCGAGGTCCTTTAGAGAAGCCCGAGACGAAATCACATGCTCGACGTCGTTTCGGCGAGTCATCCGAAGAGAAACCAGCCGGCGACGTGTTCCAGCTTGGCTCAGGGAAAGGAGGTGCTTCTAGTTCACCAAATGAAACAAAGCCGTTATCACTCACTCAACGCACGACGCAGAAGGAGAATAGGCAAATGAAGCAATCTGATGCATGGGTCCCTCCCCATCTTCGTGGCCTATAGCATGCAAATATCAAGGGCGGTTAAGCCTAAAAGCTAGCGAAACATGTCAGGGGTGCAACGGATGGCAGTCAAAGAAAGGGTTATAGTGTCTAATATGACTTTCAGAGCCACAACTTTGCAAAGAGGGGAAGCAACCTTGGAAGGTTGGAGAGTTAATATTTCGAGATGGTGGAATTCCAACCTTTCCATGTTGGAATATGTCTAACTACCTACCTGGGTAGTATTTACAAATCTAAGTGGAGGACTCGTTCCTGCTCAGATCGATGTTGTTGTTTGAGATATAGGGAAATACTACCACCACCCATCATGGTAACATGATAGGCTGATGGATTTCGCCCGTGGATTTCGCCCGTGGGTGACAATGTGCTATTGGCTTATTTTTCTTAGCTACCTTAGGTACCTATGCGGAGAGCTTTTACCGAAATGCAGTTGTGATTGACGAAGGTTAATGAGATAAGTCATGGAAAACATCAGAGTAGGGGTCTCCTCAACTCCCAATGTCTTTTCAATTGCCTTAATACAAATAGTTTCTGCCTTATATTAAGCCAGTCATTGCCTATCAAGATGCGCGTTTATGCTATTAATGCCAGTTTCAAAGTCACTCTTTTATTTCCTACCTATAACCTATAATAGGTCTCCTAAAGTGCCACATTAGAGACGAGAGTAAGGTATGGCAATACAAACTAAGCACTATAGAGCTCCGTAGGGGATCGTTCAGTCATGTGCTATCTTTCTTCGAATTACTACCACTGCTATTATCTATCTGGCTAACTACAGTGGTGTCGCCGGTACTAGTTGGGGCCCTGGTGCCACGTTGGAAGACGAACAGCGCCTCGTCTTTGCCCGGGAAGCTCGGTAGCGCGATCTGAACAACCTTGACCCAGCCCTCGTCCGCACGCTCCCGTTCCATATACTCGTCCATGCTCAGGTCCCGAAATCCCGTGTACCCGTTGTGATTCTGCGTCCCGACCACGGCTAGCGTGTCCCCGGAATACGCATCCATCATGAGCCGCGTGAAACCGCCCTCTTCGCCGCCGGCAATGGTGCCCCCGACGATGGGGTATACGAGGAGCAGGACCGCTTCGTCGGGGTCTATTTCGGTTTCGGGCTTGCTATTTCCGGCCGAGGATTTGTTATTGTTGTTGTTGCGCCGTCGCTTGCGCAGCCACTCGGCGCCGTCGGCGATCGTCGTGTCGGACACCCAGTTCACGCGCCACGCGCTCTGGGCGCTGTCCACAGGCACCGCGCGGACGCCGTATTGGCGCAGCATGAAGCTCCAGTATCCCCCGCCGGACCCTAGGTCCAAGACCTCGCGCCCCGCGGCGAGCACGCGCAGGATCGCGAGAGCTTCGTGGCTGGGACAGGCGCATCCGAAGTGGTGCATTAGGACGGGCAGTACGTGGTGCGAGCGGTTGCCGGCTAGGGTCGAGGAGACGCTGGGGCCGGCCCATTCGAGGTTGCGGCAGCTCCAGTTTAGGAACGTTAAATAAGGGTTCGGCGGGACGTTGTTGGTGGTGCTGTTTTTGTTCTTGCTCTTGTTCTGCTTGGGGATGGTGAGTTGCGAGGCGAGCGCCGGGTGTAGGTATCGCTTCGACTGTAGGTAGCTGGCTATCTCGGCGCGTAGGCTGCCCTTCTTGGCGTTGGAGAGGAAGGTCTTGAGGGCGGAGGGGGTCGAGGTGCTGGGGTCGAAGATGGAGAGGTAGGCGTCGATGTCGGGGCGTGGAGGTGGTGGGAGAGCTCTTAGTTTTTTCGAGGGTGGAGTTTGCTCGGGGTTTGCATCTGCATCGTCTTGGGTAGAGGGTGAGGGTGCGGGTGTAGGTGCGGGTGCAGGCTCGAAGTACCAGGCATGGAAGGCGTTCTGACGTCCAAGTGAGACGATATGTTGGACTTCGGCCAAGGTAACGCTAACGATAGCATGGTAGACGTAGGGATCACGGCGGGGATGCGGTAGCGCAAAGGAGGCTACGACAGCGGACTGGAAATCATCGCTAGCGAGGAACGCTTCGACGCGTTCGTGTAGCGCCGCGTCAGCCACATATGTCGTCGGGTTCCATGACGGCACGCCCTCGCAATACGTGAAAGCCTTGCTCGGCGCCATTTACCTTGGAGTTACACCCCTCGGGTTTGATTAATTTATATTCGTGAATACGTGTTTAGGGTTAACACCGCAGCACCGACGAGGAGGGAAAATGATAGCTATCAGAGCGCGGGTCCTATAGTGAAATGGCGTTGGGTGCCAGGTATGTAGAATATCAGGGATTCCCCGCACTCAGGGGCTTTTACAGGGTAGCTCATCTCCTATCAAGGAGAAACCTCCGTTGGTCCTTTGCCCCCCCTTTTTTTTTCACTCTTTGCCGTATATATAAATGGGACGGCGAGTCCGGCGTGCGGCAGCGATGGTGATGACCATGCATGTAAAGCGATATCGAGGAGGCGAAGGGAGCTGTGTCACCAAGCTTCCTTGCTCTAAATAGTAACACCTGTGTCAATACTTACTAGGTTAAGTGAGTGCGCGTCCGCTTCGGGAATATAGAACTAAATATCCTATCTAAGTGCCTACCTCTTACAACAAAGCATTCCAAACTCGGAGCTTACGGGTACATGTAGTAGGATAGTTACTCGTGTTCTATCACAGGAATGTTTTCCTAACGCTTCGGTTCGACCGTTAGGTCCTGTTTCATAATGGGCCGGTCCCTTGGCCTTGGGAGCTCGTGTTGGGAAAGTAACGCAACGGAAAAATAAACAGCATGTAGGGCCATTTGTAGATCTAGCTTGTATCCTTCGAAGCTTGGTCGGCCTACAATATACTAGGTTAAGCACTTGCGTTGTTTCAATATCCCTCTCCATCTTTCGTAAGGATACCCTCAGAGTTCCTAACGAGATAAAGCCTGATAATAATCCAAGATATATTGCTTACATACTTTGCCTAGCCATCAATTTGCTAATATTTTACCTAACTATAAATTATATATCAATAGTTTCTACTAGTTCTAGTAGTACTGATGATTCCCCGGCCTGTCAAGAGCTTAGGTACTTATAAAAGGTTAAGAGAAAGATTGCATTATGCCGGAGCTTGCCCCCTCTATGTCCAACCTAGGTACTATATAATTAATCATGATGACAGAGCACGGGATTTAGTAGACTAGGCGCGGCTGTGTGGTGCCGGGAGATAACCATCCATTGGACAATTGCTGGATTCCTGAAGGGGAACAGGTTTGGGATGTTGTCATCTCGGAGAAATATATGCAGTTGGCCATCATAACCAATGACTTCCTTTGGGTTCCTGTATTTACCTGTTCTGTCGACTGTTTGTTTCAGTTTGTAGCAAACTGCAAATCTCGGCTCGTGATGTCACTTTTGTTCAATCGTTCCGTTGCTGTCTTCTTACGGACGCAACAAGACACAAAACCCGAATCACAAGCACAGGGACCAATCACTATTAGAACCGAAAACAATCGTCCAGGAATGATATTAGTATTCTCTAAAAGGCATATCTTCGTTACAAATTCGTCATATCCATGCTCTAAACTAGTATGACGGTTGTGAAGTCGAACTACACAAAGATCCGATTAGAAATCTGGAGTGCTGTTTTAGGAGTAAGTGGGGGATGGTTGAGTCGTCTATCCGAACCCCTGACCCTTGACTGATGGGGACGAATCGGGGGATGATGTTATGTAGGTACCTATTTACGGAGACCATGCAATACTAAAAACCACCCAGTTTATTATATGCATACATGACAAGACTATAAATATAAAATACGATCGTTTAAATATATACGTTTATAACCTATTGCCTCATTTTCTTTTTACTTTTGAGCGAAATACTCGGTGGTAAATATCAACGTAGAATTGTGTCGATACTATTTACGATCTCTTGTTTATTTCCTATTGTACGTACTCACCCGCAGATTGACCTTTACAGGCGAGCTGCCGTGTATCGGTATTGCAGTCCTCATTACGCGGATACCTTTGTCATCCAGACTACCTATTCACCACTTCTGGTGCTCATGCGGGCATCCGAGCCTGATGCTACCAATCTCTTTAGTAGCCACATCAGAATAATTGTATTCCATCTGCCATTCACAATGTGATACGACCGCCATGGCTACGCAAAGAATAGCAGACACTGTCGGCGCCAATGGAAAACCGAGGGTGTTCCCCATTTTCTTTCAATAATATTAGTCGAGCCTGTCCGATAACTTCAGGACCAGATGCATACACGCATGGCTGCTTGAATGTCTCAGATCACTATCCATCACCTGACTAATGACATATAACGACAAGTTTCATTAATTGTCTGGATATCTATTCACTTCTTCGTTGACCATGGCAGACTTCGGTCGTGGTTCAACTGTCCTTGTCTCTCCGAAGCTTCAATACCAAGTCAACACCCATCTTCATCCAGGCATATCACATTACACACCGAAAGATTTCTCTCCAGTTCAAGTTCAGGGGGACGAAAAAAACAGCACACCAATTACCCTACCGAGTCCCCAAGTAAACATCGTGGGAGGAACTCATCCTAACAACGCGAATAGCATAATCTCCCAGGATCGATCTGGTGAACATCCCTGTCCACTCTCGACCTATCCTACCAACTGTAATGGATTTCCAATAAAACTGAACTGCAGCTTACAGCTAGTCCCTCCAGGGCCTCATGATGGTGGAAAATGTTCAATGCTCTGTCCAGCGAATGATAGTCTTAGTGCAGATGTCTATCCCATACAAACACCGCAACCATCGCCTATGGCGTCACAGGACGAGAACAGCCCGTATAGAGATACGCGGGATCTATTGCAGGATTCACAGCAACTGGAAGACAGTTTCGAGATAGCTGATCAACTCGAGGCCAGAACCGCCATGCTGGATGACGAATCCGTCACCGATGGCGGATACGAATCAGATTCGGCAACAAGCGCGTCTACCTCTGTTTCTTCAAGTATATGGGACTTTTCATTCGAGAATGGTAGGAGATACCACAAGTTCAGGGAAGGTCGGTACAACTTTCCGAATGATGATGTCGAACAGGAACGAGAGGATATGAAGCATGCTATGGTCAAGTTGTTGTGCCAAAAACTACACTTCGCGCCCATAGGAGACAATCCCCATGAGATACTTGACGTCGGAACAGGCACTGGAATCTGGGCGATCGAGAGTAAGCCTATCCTCTCTTATTTTATGATCGTTTAGCTATCCAAGTACTGACCTGCCCAGTGGGCGATGCTTATCCCAGCGCAAATATTCTTGGTGTAGACTTAAGTCCTATTCAGCCGCAATGGGTGCCACCTAATGTCCGATTCATGGTTGACGACGTAGAAAGCGAGTGGCTTCATCCGTTAAATCACTTCGACTATATACATTCTCGACACACAATCATGGCTATAAAAGACTGGGATCAATTGCTAACGACGTCCTATGAGTGAGTTCCACTTCCCAGGCATGATATACCTATTCAAAGTCAAGTATTTGAGCTAAATACTATTTAATTAGACACTTAAAACCTGGGGGCTGGTTGGAGCTACAAGAAATCTATCATTTCCCTATGAGCAGTAACAATACCCTTGAGGAGGACCATCCAGTCGCCCAGTACTGGAAATACGTGGATGAAGGACTTGAAAGTCTCGGCGTCGACTTCAGGTTTTCGGATGAAGGTCGGATAGCCGCTTTAATGCGACAGTGCGGATATATCAACGTAACCGAACGCGTCTTTCACATACCCATCGGTACGTGGCCGAAAAACAAAACCTTGAAGAGCGTTGGGCTGTATTGGAAGAAGATCCTACTGGATGGTATTCAAGCTATTGCGCTCGGGCCGATGACTAGAGGACTTCACTGGGGAAGAGAGGAGGTCGAGACCTTCCTGGTATCGGTTCGAAAGGGGTATCATGACAACTCATTGTTGTTGTACATGCCGCTCGTCTGTGTTTACGGCCAGAAACCTGGTGGCCAGTGACTGGAGTACTGGTATTCGCCCGAGTAGTAGTTAGGAGACAGGGATCTCGCATAATGGAACCCAAAATACGAATGTAATTGGGAGAAGAGGGGGAATATTGAGATTGACTGCGGTATCAACCGACACTAGTTTGGCTCATTTTAGACGTTTAGCTACCCTTGCTCGCAGGAGCTGTCATCATTGGAGAATAGCACCCATCCATAGCCGGAATAGGAAACATCTTTCATATACTGTATACATGGTTCTCTCCACCATAAACGTTCACGGCTCTTGAGTACGACGAAGAAGTCGCCTAGTACCTAATGAAGATGATTAAAAATGATACAGCAATATTCATCAATATACGTATAAGATGCTACACGATAAAATATAGAGAGGAAGCCTCACTTCATATCACACATTTTGTTTACTTCTAAAAACAGTATATATCCGTTAGGTGTGTATATTTTTATCACATGCGATGCCCGCCAGGGGTAACACCCGATGGCGTCGGAAACCTGTCAAACGAACTTCTGTGCGCTTTTAGTCTACACACGCGCGACATATACACGAGAAATGAAACGTTCTCCTCTCCTAGTATACCTCATCGCCAATATTATATCACATTTCACTTCGATTAAGTTCTTACCTCCCCCACACCGACCACATCTTACCAAGATCTCGAGCATCAGTTTTGTTTGCTTGTTTTTTCTGGCTAGGTACAGATAGTTACGGGATATCTAAGTGCCATACGCCGAGGCAATCAAATACGCACCTTAGGCTCCAGACGATGATTCGTCACCGCTTGTCTATGTAGGTACCCCAAGTTCACTGGCATTCGCCTATCCGGATCCAGAATCGCCGATATCATCACCATCCCATACACAAGTACACAGTGAGCCTTTCTACCTCCAAAACGAGCTCCATGCAGCAACGGCCGCTGTCACGTCAGGCAAGTAACCGCGCACATACGCACAGTTGCCGCTGCTGACGATAGAACGCGAGTGAATATGACGCGGATTTGCAGGTGGCAACGAGGAAAGGAACAAGCACGCCTTAGAACCTCCGCCCCTCCTCTCCTCTAAGCTAAACGGGGCGGGATATGAGAAATATACCCAGTGCAAGAGAACCTAGACGAAAAGGTTGCCGAAGCTCTATGCGGTCAGTTGCCGGTAGAGAGGTGGGATGACATATTCAACCCTTCCAGCTACCTATCTCCTATGGCCCCAGGTCTCGCACGATATTCCACGACATACCTACGAGGTAGTAGTGTGCTGATATCTGTTGTGCGACTATCTAGGAACAGCAGGTTTGGTGATATTTGGACGTGCTAAAGTTCTACTTGCACAGCGTGTGTATTTATTTCTTGGCGTACATACTCGCATCCTCCTAAAAGTGATCTTTGATCTTTTAAAGTATCGCAACTTCCCGCCTTGAAATGGGACAACTGTCAGTGGCTGCATCAGAGGCGTGACAAATCCTAACGGCCTTATTGCAGCCAACCAGATAGCAAGCACCAACGCCACTCATGTATTATGCCCCTTTTTTGGAAGATGCTACCTTAGGTACCTATGTCTACCCCAGGCGTCCTGCATATTAATTAGTACCTACTTTACTTGACGCGTTACTCTCCGAAGAACTTAGAAGTGCAGCGGCCCCTGAATAGATAAGGAGACCCCCTTGTCCTGACCCCCTTGTCCTAAAGATCCTAGATTGATGAAGGCACTTATATACTGACTTCTAGACCATGAATACGCATGAATAAATGCCCCAATGAGCTAAGTCGCTTGACATACCCTTGAGCAGGTGTTACAATAAGATGCTGAAACCGTACATATAGTTAAGAGGTCATGCCATATCAAGCACCAGCAACATAGATACAATCGCAACAGCCCTAAGATTCATCTTGTTTCTTCCCTTTCCTGAATATCTTCTAGATAGATTAAGTCTTTTCCTACCAGTTGGTTTTAGGAGTTCGTTAGATGGGGGCTATTTTTCTCTACGAAGATTCATGATCGTCGTAAGGCTTTTTACACATTGAGGTCTGATTATTACGATGGCTTCAATTAATGAGCTATTGGATTTAGAGACATTGAAGATTATATTAGAAGATTGGATAAATAATCCGACAACATATTTGTCTGACGCTTCTTGTAACGACAGTATCAGGTAGTTATAATGAAGTTGTCGCCACGCCAGGTTACCCTGTGGTGATTGTTAGTAGATAATAGTAAAGAGTCTAATTCGGATACTAATAGATACCTAGCCTATGCATTTTGAATGACGAATAATAACTGCCCAGCTAGTTACCAGGTAGGTACCTATCATAATATATCACTTTCAGCGATGCATTTGGCATCTTTTAATTCAAGATTTAAGTAAGCCTTACTTCCTTGAAACACCGTGATCACCACCGATAGGGTTTCTCGAATATATTATATAAAAACATTTACACGTATATGTTAAACCGGTGCCTCAAGCTCTAAGATGTCATCTGAAATAGTCAGTCTAAAATTAGCCGTTATATCGTAGCATCCCCGGGCTAAGCCTTTTACTTCTTAGATGAGATCGAACCGGCAGGCTGGTTTTCATCTAAACTTAACCAAGATCCCATCGCTCATTGCCATATTTAGATATCCATAGCCCCTTTTAGACTCCAACTCGCGATATAGGTGCTGTTTTAGTCATCAGGTAACACGCTCAAGAGCCAACCATTATCATTAGCTAGGAAAAGCAATCCAGGGTTCCTTTCCCCTGGAACTCTGTGCATATAATTTTTAGCCCGATGACTGCTATCATGGGACCTATCTGCTTCTGAAGTCAGTTATAATGGCTACCAATTCATCCTCTCTAGCATTGAGATTCAATGAGAAAAATACCACAAGTAGCCAACTACGTTGGGCAGGTACTAAATGTCAAGGTATAAGTAGATTAGGGGTATATAAGAGGCGTGCAGCACTCTCGAAAGAGGATATAAGAACAGGTGCTAATAGTTCAATTCAATTACCCTGACACTCACTTTATGTATGGCATTCACAGGTATAAATCTAATACTAAACCTGAGTGCCTAAGTCTGACAGATTTTACTTTCACTTGACGCTGGAGAGGTCTACAGCAAAATATGAAGATAGGACCCCGAAAGGTCTACCATTTTCCGGAGTGGCTTTATAGTCTTTGGTTATGAGGAATAGGCTTCAAATACGTATCAACGGCCTAAGTGTATAGGTAGACTTAAACAAAACCAATGCCTTAAGCACTTGTGAGATTAGATATTAATCATTATCAGCCGTAGGTTTACTAGGTAGAAGCACTACACAAAAATAAACCGGCTTACAAATGTACAGGGGTAACAGCCCACTGCAGTGCAGACACCCGGGCAAGAAAAGGATAACTGCAGCCAAACAGCCCACAGCAGGTCCGCACGACGGCCGAACAACACACACAACCAACCAGCCAGAACAGTCGCATAACAAAATCTACACTTGTGTCTACGTTCCCTTAGAATTTCCAGGTCGTCGGAATCCTGACCGTTCTAGTTGTTGGGAACCAAGTCACTGGGTCCTTATGGCCTAAGACACGTCGGGTTATACAAATGTAGAAAAAAGGTAATCGCCGTCTAAGAGCTGCGTGTCTCTCGCGATCCCACTTTGTTGGACGAATTCCTCCAATCCCTTACCACTACGGAGACAATACACGCGCACACAGATTTTCTCTCCCTCGCCTCCCCGGCTGCTTGTACCGAAAAGTGAAGAGAACCACGGTTTTTTTCACATGTCTGCTGTGTCACACACCACAAGAGAACGCCTCTTGGACCCAAGACCAAGTCCCCGGTAGCTGTCAACCAGTTCTCTGGTCCGGAAGATCCCTGGAGTTGTCTTATCTTAATTACCTACTTATGACCAGTTTTTCCTAGACATATATCTATCTCACCTCTTATAAGAGCTCCTACTGATTCAGTAAGGTATCCCATCCAGCGCCAAATCTTAAACGTTAACGATACCAATTCCGTCTCTAGATAGCTCTTCTCCTTGTCGACTAAGCCTGCATACTTAGGTATTAACCTCTTCATAGAGGGAAGAGGCCAAGATTATTTTTTACTTAGGTATGCAGCATCCAGCATATTGACTTGCTCTTGCGGGGCTTTGTTCTAAGACAAGATATACTGTATCTGGAAAGAGAAAGATCATTCATGGAAACTAGACGAAGGAAACTAGGAGAGGACGCCAGACAGAGAACAACCTCAAACCAATGAGAATACTAACTTTCTTATTAGCAGGGTGTGTGTATGGATCTTCTAGTTTGACTTCATTCATCTATGATCTTCAAATCCTAGCACCAGTTGTCTCGCGTAATAAGCACCTTTCAGGGAGTAATACAATATTTATAGCCCCGGTCTGTTTCTCTTCTTCTAAGCTACCTAGAAGCTCCCGGGTTCATTTACACAACGTTGACACCACTCCGGCGTATAATGATTCCTGAGTTTATAAAGGTTAAATGTTTATGATCTGTACAGCCCAACCTCATTTCCCAAGTTACCTTCATATTCACCTGGCCTATTTTTCCAATACCACATCATTGCATACTTCCTATTGTGTATAGCTTGTTCCTCTAATTTTGTCTGTTAAAACTGCTGTTGTTCTCTGTCTTATACCTGTTAGTAGGTATACATATTTGCATTCGCGTTGGCGGCCTACTTTAATTCCGTCGCAAATCTCGGCACATTACGCAGAAGTTACTATCACAATCGTTGCTGTCGGTACCATTACCTAGGAGCAAAAATGGTTAGGCTTAGATTGGCTGCCTGGCTCCACCCGACTTCACCCATGGCAACTTCTTCCAGTACGGAGCACAAAAGACAGAACCTTAAGCACACGCTTGAACTGCCGACAAGTACGCTAGAAAATAAACATCACAAGCAGAAGCTCCATAGAGAAGAGCCTAATAACAACATCCGAGTTGCGAGCTTTCCGAGAAGGAACACTCCTCCCACGATGGCGTCGTCGAAGATGATTGCGCTCGCGCAGAAAATTGCCTCCGAGACCGAGAAAGTCGAGGCCTACTTCAAAAACAATGACCTTCTAGCTCCAAGATTCGACGCAGACGCGCCTGGTGACTTTCCTATTATGCCGGATGACGTTTCTAGAAGCCGCAGAGAAGTCATTCATGCTACCCAGGAGCTGCATGATCTTATGGTCGGACCCCGAGAGACGGTTCGATGGATGGCTTGGGATGTAAGTTCCTCTCTGCGTTTCTACTTCTTATATTCTCCTTGACACAATATACGTATCTAGGCATCTATTATCATACTGACTTAATAAAACAGTTCCTAAACACCCAGAGCCTACAGCTTATCAACAATTTTGGGCTCGGTATGTCTACGATACCCGTATGCTATTTATCCATGAGATACTGATATTATATCCTAGCAACACTTGTGCCCCTTGACGGTTCCATCACTTTCTCAGAGCTCCAGGCCAAAACCTCTCTTGACCCGATCAACCTCGCCCGCTTGCTGCGACATGCTATGACGAACCATGTGTTCCAGGAACTAAAGCCAGGCGTAATCGCACATACGGCCGCATCACGACTACTAGCCGAGGATCAAGATCTACAGGCCTGGGTGATATTCAATACAGAGAGTGTTTACCCGGCATCCGCTCAAGTGGTCAAAGCCCTAAGGACGTATCCCGAAGCAACGAGCCTTACCCGCACTGGATTCAACTTCGCCTTCGATACAGTTGACCTAGAGCCTATGTTCGTTACAGTTGGAAAGGACCCCAAGTACGCTGAGCGCATGGCGCAGGCTATGAACAGCCTCACGGGAGGTGAAGGATACGAACTATGGTACCTATTAGAGGGCTGCGACCTGACGGACGTGGACGCCCGCGGCGGAACTTTGGTCGATGTAGGAGGTAGTCATGGCTTCGTGGATGTGCATCTGGCTGAGGTGTACAAGAATATCAAGTTCGTGGTACAGGACCTCCCTAGTACCGTCGAGAGCGCGCCGAAGCCCATATGCGCAGATGTTAAGATCGCTAAGCGCATCCGATTCCAGGAGCATGACTTCTTCAAAGAGCAACCCATCCATGGCGCCGATGTGTACTTCTTCCGCTGGATCATGCACAACTATTCGACACCTTATGCTGTCCAGATCCTCCGTAACCTAATTCCGGCACTAAAACCGGGCGCCCGAATTATCATCAATGACCACTGCCTCCGAGAGCCTGGCACCGAAAACCCTTGGGATGAGCGCTTAATAAGAAGCATGGACCTTGTCATGATGAGCTTGCTGAACGCACAGGAGCGTGGGGAAGAAGACTTCAAACAGCTGTTCGACATGGCTGGAGATGGGTTCGTCTTCAAAGTAAGTTTCTTGCTTCCTTCAAAATTGAAGACTAATATTCTAACTTATTGTCGAAGGGCGTCACCAGACCGAAGGGTTGCCGCATGAGCATCATCGAGGCAGTGTGGCAGCCAGATGAAGTCGACCAAGCCTCGGCTACGGAGAGTCTGTCTGGACTTACACTTACGTAGAAGCGATAGGCGCAGGTGGAATCGTTGGTATATGGGGGGGCTACTCATCTTGAGGTGTATGGGTGGTCGAGTGGCCTAGTCTGCAAGTATTTTTTACTCGAAAAGTTGATACGGCGAAAGGACTATTGTGCATAAGTCAACGGTAGTAATCTGCTGGGTAGAGAATATCCCTCCTGTTGATTGCATAGCCGGAGGAATAGTTCATGAGATCTTCTTTCTTTCTTTTTTCTTTAGTCTCTTGAGCTTGATACCCGACCCCCTTTACCGTTGACGACTGGATGGATGAACAACAAATAATGAGCAGGAGGAAAGGGAGACTCATTCGGGAAAGCTGTTCATGATGATGATGTCACGGCGAACGGAGGATGTATGATTAATGGGCACCCACCACGAGTCTGTTAATATGATTGGCATTACAAAAATATGTATTTCCTAGAAATATTGGGTTTCTCCCCAGATTACTTCGTACCTAATCTTAAGGGGTTTAAAATACCAATTCGGCCCATTACTTGTCGACTCAACGAAGTTGTCACGACTCATTTGAGTAAGTATAACTGATCTGTTAAGAGGTCTAATGTCCAAAGCGGGGTCTGCCAGCAGAGTTTATAGCTGATGATTCGTTTAGAGCTCGGAGGCTGAGGGAGCTTTAATGCTGGCAATGCGTTTGAGGGATCTACGACAGCACAAGAGCCGCCGGACATCGAGCCAACTCTAGAATCGTTCCACCCGGCGCTTTCTCGGACCAGATCACATGTATTTTGGCCCACGCCAGGGCTGTCAAACGGGGAGATCCTTAGCGGACTCTCCAAGCAACCCCAGATCAGGTATCCCCTGTAAATGTGGAGTTTCCCCGTCTTAAGAATCGACCCAAGATCCAGGATAGTCATCGGCTCCAAGATAATTCTATATATGGCCTAGGTTCATGCATTGCATCAGAGCTGTAATCCGGGGTCCTCCTCTACAAGACAATATGCGCCTAGAGCTACCGATGAACGCCCGGAGCTATGAGGCCTAATGCTAGGTATAACACCACTTCCCCAGAAAACTTCCTCCGAGTGGACAACTATAGCGTAGGAGCGGGGCCGACAAGTTGGAAATGACCTCGGCGGTATATCATAGAGCAGAGCGACATTAGCTGCAGATGAAGCAACAGCTTCCTCCGCCATCCCCATTCGAAATCTCGGTCCTTTTCACGTATATGCCGCGATACAGCCGATATGAGCATTAGGTTGATGAGAGAGGTATATATCAGCAGACCAGCTTGCCATGAAGTCGAGTACATGAGTTTTGACAACCACAAGATCATCTTTAGTCCTCGCATTCTTAGCACTCTCGAGACTCTACGCCAGTTCAACTTTCCCGACGCTTCAAGATGAAAGCGATCGTTGCGCTAGCCGGCTCCGGCCTCATCACCCTCATTCAGGGCCACGGGTACTTGACTATACCCGCAAGTCGCACTCGCCAAGGAGCGGAGGTATGTTCACTTACCTTGATAAGCTTCGGGGTTCTAATGAAGCTGATTCGCTGTTTTAATCAATATAGTCTGGGAGGGATACTTGTCCGGAATGCACGATTCTCGAGCCAGTGACAGCCTGGCCGGATGTCGATGAGGCAAAGGTCGGCCGCTCAGGCCCTTGCGGGTACAACGCCCGCGTGAGCTTTGACTACAACCAGCCATCGGCAGACTGGGGAAACAAAATCGTAGCCACGTACTCTCCCGGCCAGGTTGTCGATGTTGAGTGGTGCGTCGACCACAACGGTGACCACGGCGGGATGTTCGCGTACCGCATCTGCCAGGACCAGGCTATCGTCGACAAGTTCCTCGACCCTAACTATCTCCCCACTGAGGAAGAGAAGCAGGCTGCCGAAGACTGCTTCGAAGAGGGCCTTCTCCCTTGCACTGACGTTAACGGCCAGGACTGCGGATACAATCCTGACTGCACCCAGGGCCAGGCGTGCTACCGAAACGACTGGTTCACGTGCAACGGATTCGACAGCGGCGACCAGACCAAGTGCCAGGGCGTGGATAAAGCGGCGCTGAACTCGTGCTTCACGACCATCGCAGGGGGCTACACAGTCACCAAGAAGATCAAGATTCCAGAATTCGTGTCCAACCACACGCTGCTCTCGTTCAAGTGGAACTCATTCCAGACGCCTCAGGTATACCTGTCGTGCGCGGACATCGCCATCACCGACGGCGGCTCCGTATCGACAACGACCAGTTCGTCCTCGGCGCCCGCAACCAGCACCGCCGCGTGTACCGCCACCACTAGTAGCGTAGCACTGACATTCAACCAGGCCGTCGTAACATCGTACGGGGACACGATTAAGCTCGTGGGCTCGATCCCCGAGCTCGGCAATTGGGACGTCGCGGCTGCGCCGGCTATGTCGGCCGCCCAGTACACGGCTTCCAAGCCCCTGTGGACGCTCTCCCTGAGCCTCGCGCCGGGCCGCAAGTTCGAGTATAAGTTTGTTAAGGTGGCGAGCAACGGGGCTGCCACGTGGGAGAGCGATCCGAACCGCTCGTACACGGTGCCGAACTCGTGCGGCTCGTCTGCGATCGCTGTCGAGGGAACTTGGCGCTAGATTCTGATTCTGTGTATTTAATTCTTTATTTTGGATATATATTTAGTACGTAGGTAGGTAGGTACATGTGTTGATGAATTTGATGATCAAGAGCTTAATTATCATAAAATCAAAAAGTCTTTCCTTTGCAGATGTTCATCCCTGAGTGTGTTGGTTATGTGCTCATAATTACATATTCGATGTTATTTAAATCACAAGGGTACAATTTATTCGTGTACCAGGGATCATAGTCGATCTCATTTCCTCTCGTCATGATCCATCTTATTCCTCTTTCCTCTACGTAAAGCTTGCCGCTCAGGAGCACCTAGCCAATGACCAGTTACTAGATTCAAATATCTCGTAGATCGTGGAAGCTAATACATGATACTACTGTTTATGCCTAGCTACTGCGATTTTCCATATTGCGAACGATTTATAATTACTACCGTTCGTCATGGCGTTTAGAATAGATCGGACTAGAACTCGTCAAATACGTCTTAATGACGAGAATGACCGTCATTCGTTAGAATCCTTGACGCGATGATTGACACAGATACGATTGATATCAATGGACCTGTTCGCGGCTCTTAAGCTATCGACGTTGCCATGGATCGATCTTGGAGATACTAAGCTTGAGAATCGCGATACGTTGACAGTTTAAGCACTTATTACCATGTTCCGACAATCGCTTCGACTGGCATGGAAGAAGAACTTTGGAGCACGGCAACTATCTGTGCCGCCGACTCCTATAACCTTACTTCGTCCGTATTCTGACAATCAGACGACTCGGGACAATCGTTCCCCGAATGACCCAGCACAGACTCCTACCCAGGCAGGCAGCATCTCGTCGGTGATAAAGCAGGACCACCGGCAAATTGAGAAATACCACGACAAGATTATCAATTCAAAGGATCACGATACTCAGCGGCGATACCAAAATGCCTTTGTGTGGGAGCTGACGAGACATGCAATAGCCGAGGAGCTAGTTGTATATCCTTCAATGGAGACAGGCCTCAACAACGGGAAAGAGATAGCCGATAAGGACCGAGAAGAGCATCAGATAGTACGTGTAGCACATCCTTATACAAGTCGTTCGAGTTACGTCGAACAGTGTACTAACAAATTCTCGCCACCCAGGCTAAAGAGCAGCTCTACAAGTTCCAGAACATGACCCCTGACGATAGTGGTTTTATCCCAACTCTCGAGTCGCTGATGACGGATCTCAAAATTCATATTCAGCAAGAGGAAGAACATGATCTCGTCAAACTAGAACAGGCACTACGGCCGACAAGATCGAGAGAACTAGCCCAGCAATTCGAAATGACGAAGGTATTCACGCCAACACGTAGCCACCCGAGCGCGCCGAATAAGCCGCCATACGAGACTGCTGCTGGCCTCATGACAGCGCCACTAGACAAACTTGGTGATATGTTTCGCGCATGGCCAGATGAGCCCGGGTCAAAGCCAGCTTCTGGTGGAGCTGGGAGATAGACACGAGCGCGTAAGAGCACACGGTTACGTCTACTAGAACATTGCGGTATCGTCCTAGTAGAGGTTAGTGATGAGTTTACTAAAAAGTGAATTATATTAGGTTTCATATACATGGATAAATATTTCAGTGTCGCATAATGTTCATCCAGTTCTATACAATCGATTAAGTCCATGCCTACCTCTATACATAACGTGCCATAGCTTAGACGAAGCAAGGAACAAGGTCTGAGCAACGATACATGCATATGCATCACGTTATAAATAAATTTTATCATCATTGGTCACGTATCTCGTATTCAGTGTCTGAGGTCCAGTGAGAAATATCATAGTCAATGATTCGATCGCGGCAATTTAGCCGATTCGACGTCCGTGATGACAACGTCTGAGTATAGATCCTTCTACGCCGACTTTCGTAATAAACTCGGTCTAGATCAGCCACCGTTACCCTATATGCTAACGTTACGCCATGGTAGCAAACCATAATTCGAGCAGAGAACTATATATAACCTTTGAGTGAGCCCGTTCCAGTTGTAAGTCAACGTATGCATCACCCAGCTTTAACATACCGGTTTTACATACAGATCTTACGACAAAATGAGAAACCTCAAGTTCTTCGCTCTTGCGAGCCTCTTCGCCCTCGGCCGCTCATCCGAGCAACATCAACAACCTCAAGGAGATCTAAAGCCATGGGAAGTAACCAGACTATCTACATACTCTCCTTCAGGCCGTCCAGGAAGTAGCCCTCTCGCTCACCTATGGGCAACTATCGCAAACCCCAACTCCATTCCCGCAGGTTCAGGAGCCTCATTCGAACCGAGCAAGGCGAACTGCACAGTGGATTGGACGTGGTCTACTGAAGAGCCATATGGGCGTACTGTTTCGTGCACGACAGGAAACCAAACTGCCATTTCGGATTCAATCTCAAAGTGGACTATCGAGATTATTAAGGCAAACAGCAACTACTCGTCGCCAACCGAGGACTTCGATGTGAAGTTCACGCTCACGGCTAACTTAACGGTGAACGGAGAGGATTATTACAAGGTCCTGGCCGGGACACAGCATTTCGCTGTCGGAGAAAATATGAGAGGGACTTGCGGTGGTAGTGGTTTGGTAAGTACATTTATATCTTTTCATATATCCAGACACTAACGTCGATGGCTACTACAGTGTTCTTGGGGTCTCATGGATGAAAGCAACCCAGTGTTGATTGAGCCGACGCTTGTCGCCTCTTCCTAACAGTTTCGACAACCCTACTATCTGATCAGAAGATATAGGAGACATTATGAGGCCAAGGCCCAACTAGGTTATATACGTTTTTAGCATTTTTAATGTAAGGGTATTACTTGGGGTATTGGCCATAGACCACGGATCTATCTTGGCGTACGAAAACCTGGAGAAAGCTCATGTCATGTATTATTTCATATTCTCTAGCCATTCAACTTCAACGCAGTATTCAACACACTAACCAACATCTACAATTTTATCCAAAACGTTGTCACAGAGTAACCTTCTCGTCAGGCAGAGGCACTACAGGCAGACCCCAAATAATGCGAGGTCCGGCATCCTCGCCACTCCAGGCTTCGTCAAAAGCAATACTTGACCATTCCGCTGCCTTTGACCCTCTTTCAATCATTTCGTCTTGATAGTTCCCAAGCACCTTTTTGATTTCCTCAGTATTGTTTGTATGCAATTTCGTTAAGATCTTCCCAAGCTTGAGCGCATCGAGCAAGGCGTGGAACCCTCCTTCACCTCGAACTGTTCTTTCGCGTTAGTCTCTTCTTTGAGTCGCTGGATTCATCATAGCCACTTACATGAGGGCATACAGTGTGCAGCATCACCAAGTAACGTAACCCTTCCCTTAGGCAATGACTCCGGGTTCATGGTCAACGTGTAGATGTGTAAGGGCGGGGTTTTCATTCCTTCAGGTCCCACTTTCTCTACGATAGATCTGAACTTGGCCGGCAGATGCTTTGTTTTCTCCAACGCTGTCTCGTATAACTTCTCACTGCTAGCCGAGTACGTCCAGAAATCCTTCTTAGTTGCTTCATCGTCGCGCCAGAACAAATTAAAGAAATATTTGCCGGACTTCCCATCAGGAAAAGCCTCGCTTAGGCCAACGAAGAGGAACGAGGGGGCTTCATCGGTCAAACTCGCATCGACTAGATAACAAGAACACCCTATCTGGAGCTGTTCCTCCATATCGCGGCCGCTTAGGATGATCTCTCCGTTTATTACCCCTTGACGTGGTTTCCTGATGACATCTTGCCCGCCTAGGAGGTATTTCCTAGCTAAAGATCAGTCAACACGCAGTCATACTTCCATCCAGGGTACCCCCAAACACTTACTAGGACTATAAGGGCCATCCGCTCCAATAAGGATATCGCCAGTAGCCGAAGTCCCATCTTCGAAGTATACTGTTACGGAATCACCGTGTTCTTCAATGCGAACAGCATGCTTGCCATATTGGACCGGCATGTTCGTTGCTAACCACTTCCGAAGTCGAGCACGGTTCGCACGAATAAATTTCCCACTGCCATCGTCACGGACTCCAAGTTTTCTAGTGCGATCATGCCTATACCAGGCACACTCATAGTTGTATTTCAGGGGCAGCAAATGGTTTACGAAATCGCGTGATGGCAAATCATCGGGGATAGACGTGTCGAGCTCTTCAAGCATACTTGCTAATTATTAGCTCCCACACTTCTCTATCTCGTTGAGGATCACTTACGTGTGGAGGCCAATCGCCCACCCCTGGACTCGAATATTGTCACTGCGATCTCGCTCGAAAATCTCAAAAGAGACCTTATTCTTACGCAGTGTCTGGCCGAGAAGCAAGCCCCCCAGGCCACCGCCCACAATTAGAATATGAGGAGTCCCTTTCGCCATTCTTGTCGGCCCAGTAAGTAAAGATTTAAGATATTGATACCAAGAACAGCCGTCCTTACTACCCAACTAACCCATACTCAACAGCGTGTTGCTTCAGTATCAACTTTATATACATATTTTAGCCTTAGGAGATTAATAGCAGTTAAACCTCAAGGCTTGCTCGGACTAAAGATCAGCGAAACCTGCGAGGGGCGCTCGGCTCGGCCATACCGGTATTGTTAACGCAGCACCTGTTGGTGCAAGATCCTGCGCAATATTGTGACTTTTGGACATTGTACCATTTTTTCCGGTTGGAACGTGGCGGAGTCCGAATACATGCCTGTCTGTTTACCGTACCTACAAGGAAATAACACCGGAGCAAAGGTGTTTATTCATATCAACATATTCCACTACTACTCAGAAAATGAGACATGTGACAACATGGTTTTCATTCAGGGTTATCAGGAGGAAGCCATAACAGAGTATTCGAAAGTTGCACACCCAACCGATTCATAAACCTACCTATGTAGTTCCAATAATTATCGCACATACATTCATTCTGTTGCATAAGCTACACAGTACAACCTTAGGTACATATGGAGGCAATTCTAATATAACAGTCCAACAGACTAAATTAAGTTGCCTTAGCCAAGGTAATGTCTCACTTAGGTTCCAGTTAAGGGTTAATAGAAGCATTCAAGGCGTTAATACAAAGCTCCTTCCCCGAAACCGACATATTCCAGCCTCAATATCAACTAAGAGGCGCATTCCACCACGCCTCCAGATCCGACTTAAACGGTTTGAAACCACCCCTGTTGCACCACGGGAGCAGCCGCATCTTCCCGCTCCCTAAGAATAGAGCAGAGCGTTCTTTAACAGGCACAACCGCATAGAATACGAGTTAAGTATTCTAATTAGTTATAGCATGTTCAGGTTTACCGAGTAAAGCCCTAAGGTGCGAGAAGTCTTTGAAACATTCGGATGATCGAGCTTCTATGCCTCCTTAAGGGTCCTGCCTAAAACTATGAGCCCGTTATGTCACATGAGCTGATGTAAAACATACGATCAATTTCGCGCCATGAGAGAAAAGATTGTACTGTATCTCCTTACAGCTACGGGGTTAAGAAATATATTCAACTGTCGGCTCCGAGGTATACCATACCTCGGTCTACACTATCAGTAGCCCGATTAGTTATGAACCGTCACCGCCCTTTTCTTCACGAGTATTCAGGACGCGGTTCTATAGTTATCCTTCTTCTATAACTAGTTATAATCAGTGATACTTGGAAGGTAATGAGAGTTCACTTATTGAGGCCCGGAATAATATTACGGGACTTAGAAGCACTACGATGCCCGCCTAACTCAGCGCCACTAACTTATTCGACTTTTTCTAAATTCTGATAAAGCAGAGTCGCGGTCAATGGCGGTCTAGCTAGCTTGATGTACGTCTCGGCGAGTTACGCCACTTTTTTCAAGGTCTTTACAGAAGTTCCGAAATCTCGGAAATCATATGGGTTATAAAAACTGAGCTATAATTAGCCACACGTAGTTAGTAATAGGTAGGTACTCAAGCATCAAAAGAGAGAACTTTAGTCATCCTCGTAATATCACTTCTCCCCTCTTCAACGCCATATCCTGTCAAGGCGCAATGAAGTGATCGCTATTTTCAAAGCCAGAGGCTGAACACCTATTCACGCAAGACACTTTCTGCTACCTTAGGAAGGTTTGCTATTTATTAGAAAATTCTTGGTTCCTAGGCTTATTAAGGCCTGACCTACATCGGAGTTCTATTTACAGTCGAAGCTTGTAGTCAAAGCCGAGAAGCTAGCGTTACGGAACGGGTAGAGCGATTTTTTTATAAAAAAAAAAGGGGGGGGGGGGGGGGGGGGGGGGCGGGGGGGGGGGGGGGGGGGGGGGGCGGG